CCCAAATACCCTTAAACAAAGGAAAAGTACATCCTTTATGAAGGCATAGAGCCTTTACTACATGAAAATGAAAATTAATGAATACACTGTGTACAGTAATTTACCTGATAAGACAGACCTCAGAAAAATACTTTATGAGAGCTTTTATACTTTTATGAAGCTGTCTATAATAAAAATTAATTAACTAAGGAATTTTTGCCCTGCCAGGGTGTGGCCGAGTTATCTGGACTGCCGGGTTATCGAGTGCTGAGTTTTCGAGACTGTACTGTATTATAAATTATTTTATGCAGTGTATACTACAGTATAATAAAGTTTAAAATGAGAATACATTATAAAATTATTTATTTCTGTTACTTGTTATCATTTAACTTCAATGTGAGACAAATCATTCATATTAAAATGTTACAATGTTACAGAATTTTATTCTTATTGTATTTATTAACTGTATAATAAATGATGTAAAAATTCTTCTTACATATGATTAAATTTGCTAAGGTATAAAAAAGACACTTTAAAAGTGATATGGCATATCTCTTTTAAATACAAATATATTATGAATCTTTTCATATATTTTCATTTTACTATGTAAAATTATCAGTTTTGAAATTAAGAGATTTTTATAAGAAGCTTATCTATTAATGTGATTTTATGTTATAAAAGTCAAAGGATTACGTTTATAAAAAAATCACCAGTTTCTTTAAGTTTTTTTTTAACTTGTGCAAAATTTATTAGTTTATTATGAACTTTTATTTTATTTGAAAAATTATTTTTTTTACTCATGTCATTTATTTTTAATCAGCACTATATTGTTTATCTTCATGAGAGTAAATATCATTACAAAGTTTGTTGTAATATTTACTTTATCTGTGCTGGTAAAAACTGGAATTACTAAAATATTGAACTATAGTAGAATGATGTTAAAAATGAATTAAAACAAAAGATTCAAAATATTTTTATTTTTCAGATAATTCCTCCAGAAAACTGGTATCCACGTAAAAGTGGGTATGATGATTTAGAGCTGTTAATTCCTGCTCCAATTTCTCAAATGGTAACTGGACGCCAAGGTTTATATCAGCAGTATAATATTCAAAAGAAAGCAATGACAGTGAAAGAATTTAAAAAATTAGCAGAGAGTCCTCAGTAAGTATTTTATTTTCAAAATTAATTCTATAAATATATATGTGATGAAATTTGATTTTAAATATATAGTAGGCCTTTGATTTAATGGACAAAAAAATATTTAGTCCTAAAGGAAAAATTTAGAATTTTTTTTTATCAATGGAACTAAAAGGTTGTGTCAATGAATATAAATTATTCAAAGTACTGTGCATTATAGTAATAATTTATATAATAATAGCTGCACAGTAAGATATTAGATCATGTCTTTGAGGATCTAGATTTAATTTCATCTGGACACTCATAATTTATGATGAGTACTCTAGATCAGTGGTGTGCAAACTATTTTCACTTCTGACCCCCTTATTTTGTGTAAAATTTTGTTGCAATGTCTGGATAGACAGACATTTTTTTAATTGTCAACATAGTTAAAGTGAAATTCTTTCTGGTATTTGCGCTTATGTTTCTGTCCTATTGGAGGTCTGAATAAAGCACATAATTTTATGAAACAATGGTTTTTTTTTATTTATGCATATGGGTATAAATATTTATTTAATGACAAATACTTTTAAAAAACTTTTAGTGATGAATATGATGATTCTCACACCAAATATTGTATACTAAAATGGAGAAGGCACCGAGGTCGGCATTACATGTACATTTTTTTTATCGCAAGTACTTTCAACTTGCTGCTTGTTCAGTTTTCGAACATATTTGAGTATTTGTTTTGTGTTCTTAACGGCTTTGACAAACGTTCTATTCTACATCGGATTATTTCCGTTTAACTTCTTGTAAATTTCAAAATTCGCCTGATGACGACAGCTATAGGTTCGTCGAAAGTACTTGCGATAAAAAACGTACATGTAATGCCGACCTCAGTGCCTTCTCCATTTTAGTATAAAAAACTTTGTTATAAGAATTCAATGTGAGGTATGCTATTCTATTTTTATAATTAATATAATTTTATTTCACTATTTTACTGCTACCTGATACTTGTTGAAGAAAAGCCTTATATTTTTTATTGTCAAATAAAAAAATTTTTGAATTGTCAAAGAAAAAAATTTTTGAAATGTTGAATTTTTCGGGGTCGCCAAATTCAAAGAAATTTGGTTTGCACATCACTACTCTTGATTGAAATGTCATTTTGTATTTCTCACTTATGCTGGTCACTTTCATTAAAGATCAGACCTGCATATAATGGATACAATTGAGGTGCATATAGACTGCTTGTTGTGACAACAGCACACAATAAGGTTGATTACGGATTGTCAAAATCCAGTTTACCTGAAAATCCATCTAATTCTTACACTTTTGAGTATAGTGGAAAGCAAATAAGTGTTAAATATTAAGGAAGAAAGATTTCATTTTGCTTATATTATTAAATATAAATACAGTAAACTCTCACTAATCTAGCACACAATAGTATGGTCTCTCAATTATCTGGCATTCCCTCTAGTGAACAATGGTTCAGAATTATCAAAAAAAAGGTCAAAAATCACTGTTCTGAATTAATTTGAAAATATTTAAAAATTAAAGTAGGATATGTCAGGTATATAAATATATAATATATAAATTAAGCATCAAAAAATACAGCAAGAAAATGTTAATAAATAACTCTTGCAGACATTTTCTTTCATGTTAAATGGTCATCTAATTGTTTGTTGTCGAATACAATGTATAATAGCCTAAAAAACAATTCTCCAAATAATAGAGGTTATTTCAAGTGATTCATAGATTCTATTAATGATCAAATTTTGTCATGCAACAATTTTTTTTTTTCCCTCTCAGTAATGGAGAAACTCAGTTCTTTAATATCCTGATTAAAGATGTATCAGGTTAATACTGTAATGACCACGCAAAAAATAATTTTGGGACAATTCAACTTTTTTTTCTATATTTCATCAAAGACCAACAATATATAATAACAATATATAACAATAATTTAATGAAGATAAAACATAAATCTTTAAAATGACTGACAAGATATCTTTAAAATCACGTATGTGTAAAACACTTGACACCAACCTTTCTTTGTAGAATTCGATGTCAGTTACTTCAAATAGCACTGAAAAGTTTTTCAATATCAGCCAAGTCCTAGTTGTATTTATAGATGAAATGAACTGTAGAATCCTCTGGCGAAAAATTGTTACAGTAGTGTAAATAATCCTGTGAAAAGATAATGTATAAAGATATTTACTTTAAAATTGTTATTTTGTTAACTCTATACAATTACAGGTATTAGTATAATTTTTTAACATGTTAGAATGATGATTATTTTTACATTCTAAAGTTCAGGTAGAAATATAGTAAGTTGCCTAATTTTGTTTGCTGTAATTTTTGTTCATGATTATCATTAAAGGTATATACTTTAAGACTGTGTAAAGATCTGCAAATTTGTGCATGTCTTGAAAAACACATTTTTACAAATCAAATCATTGTTTTTTATTATCTTAATTCAATTAAAAGATTTTCATGCTTCAGTTGCATAGTACTTATGTAATATTTGATAAAAATGCTGGGAAAAATAAGTGCAATCTTAGAAAATTTACAAAAATTCCCAAATAGACAATACTTTACAAAAGTGTTTTTTCACTTTACCCCTTTCACATACCATCAAGAAATAAGTCTCATGGTAAAGTTGACCTTCTTTAGAGGCTTTTCATCCACCTCAATATGTAAACCGTTTAAGTCTTCCTTCTGGCAACAATACACTTTTGTAAAGTATTGTCTATTTGAGAATTTTTGTAAATTTTCTAAGTTTATACTTATTGTCCCAGCATTTTATCAAATATATGTATATTTTTTTAATTGATTGTGCCATTGCCAGAGGGAAGATTTTAACATTTTACATATTGAGGCAGATGAGAAGCATCTAAAGAAAGGTGAACTCCACCATGAGATTGTTATTTCTTGATGGTGTGCAAAAGGGACAGTGATCAGACATTTTTTAAAAGTGCTGCCTATTTGAAAATTTTTGTGAAATTTCCAAATTTATACTTACAAAATACTTTTTCAAACTTTTCATAATTTTATTATTATTATTTCTTTCTTTTAACAATCTACCATTTCTGTACTAACCTTCAAAGAGGTTTTGAAATATGGTTATCAAAAATTTTTTAAATTAACTCTAGATAACTAATCATTCGTCTACATCAGCGATTCCCAACCTGTGGTACGCGTACCCCTAGGGGTACGCGATAGGTTGTTTAGGGGTACAGAAAAAAGTTAGTTATTATGGCAGAAAAAATAATATATTATGTATCACAAACTAATAGTATTAAAAAATTATTAGGTAAAATATGTTCCTTGCAGCAATCACAACTTTATTATACATTTTTTCGTTTACTTTTAATTTAAAGTTACAATATGTAAAATTAACAATACGGGTACTCACTAAATTTCTTAAATGAGGGGTACAATCTAGAGATATGACATGTCACGGGGTACGCTAATGAAAAAAGGTTGGGAACCACTGGTCTACATGATGACGTATCTCCGCTCGAAAGTGAAATTCAGAAACTTTCCCACGCTTCCTGCCAGTCATTCTTTTTCTATCTTAATAATTTGAATAAACAGTGCAGTGTGTGATGCAATTGTGTTCACACGTCAATTAGAAATTGACTTACGGCCATCTTGTAGTTCGCTCGACGAAAGTTTAGTTTCTACGTAACTTTTATGCAAAGGCATGTACATTATGTACATTCTTATGGCTGCAGATATAAACAGTAAGTATGTGATAAATGCCATTCCATATTTGGGAAAAGGTACTGATCCTCAGAAACAAGCATTGGCTATGTTTTTCATAAAGGAAATAACATCTATTTTATATGGAACCAACTGTAGCATTACTATGGATAACAGGTTCACATCTGTATCTTTGACAGATAAACTATTGAAGTCACCTTATAATTTGACCTTAGTTGGCACTCTTAGAAGTAATGAAAATGAAATTCCTGAAAAATTAAAAAATTTTAAATCACGCACTATTGGCACTTCAATATTTTGTTACAACAGCAATAAGACATTAGTTTCAACAAAGCCAAGTCAAATAAACTTGTTTATATTTTGTCGACTATTCATGATCAACTTAACATAGATAAAAATACAGGAAAACCATAAATAATACATTTCATATAATAGTACAAAGTGTGCGGTAGACACAGTAGATCAAATGTATTCAAATATGAGACAAACCCAAAAGATGGCCACTATGCATGTTTTATAATATGCTAAACCTATTGGCAATAAACAGCTATGCTATCTATGTCTCTAATAACGTCAGAAACAAAAAATCCGATGTCCCGGTGGGATTAACTTATGAAGATGGGAGACAAACTATGGAGCACTGGCTACAACAGCGGTTACAGACAGTGCCTTTGAGGCGTGATATCAGAACCATAATACAGGATATTCTAGGTGATGTGCCCAGTGTAGAAGCTCCTACTCATTCTGCATCGAATCTACGTAAAATATGCTATTTATGTCTATCAAAAGCTCAACGAATGACAAAACACTGTTACATGAAATGCAAAAATGCATTTTGCGGCCCCCATAATGTTAACATATGTAAGCAAATGTGTGTAATCTTATTTCCTAAATATTTTGTCCTTATTTAGTTACTATTTATCCATACTATTGTGCCATGTAACAAGTTCTTATTTTTATTAAACAATTTTGTTGATATTAATATAATTTAATGTGTAGTCCGCTTGACGAATGTGTAGTTATAATGTAACTGAAGATTAAGTCTAGTTATCTAGGGTTAATACAACCAAATTTAAATAATAAGCACTAAATACAGTCAAATTTTTAATAGAGAAATATCTCTGGTTTTATATGCCATCAAGTATCCATTGATCTTTCAATCATAAAACACCAGTTGGTTCTATCAACTATCAGAAGCACAGGAGACAAGAAATAATGATTGAAAAAAATATTATGAGCATTGGAATATCTTGAATTGAAACAAATAGAGATCTCCTTCAGACTATTAATAATTTCAGATCTATGCATCACAGGCTTGCACATACATTGTAAGAAGAAGCATATGTATACAGAAATAATATAGTTTTTTTCAACAAGAATCTACAGAATTTTCAAATGAAAGTGAAGAAGAAAGTGATGAACACTGACACTACTAATCTATTGATTGAAAGTTAGTGTTTGAAAATTATTCCTTTCTCAGTAGAATTTTAGTTTAACTTTGTCACCTCAGTTCACTTTGTACGATGATTTCTTTATGTAGAAAATTTAAAATATATCTATGAAGTCTTGAGTTTAAGGTTAAATTCTAGAGTATTTAATTAAAAATTGAAAATGACACATTTTGTATTTTTGACCATCTGAAATTTCTTGAACCACTATGCAGTGTAATCACCTATGCACTTCCATTTCCATAAAAATATTTGTCTTATTATGCATCCTGTTTTCATGTTTACTTGGGTGTCATTTCTATGTACAGTATTGCATTCATTGAACCATATTATTTGCCCGCCTGCTTGCGAAAAGTATCAGTACTGAAAGGCCATAGGTCACATCTTTCATTGCCCTTTAGATTGGCTTTAAATGTGTACATTTTCAGTAATCCAGTACTCTAACTAATCTGGCATATCCCTGTGCAAGGAACAGCCAGATTAGTATATGCCTACTGTATATAATAATTTATTAATATTATACACTAAGTAATTTTTGGTATATTATCTAAATTTCTAGTTCAAATATGCTTATCAGACTATTTTTAATGGGAATAGTCAATGGAGATTATTTTTTTTATACAATTCTTAAAATAATATAATTGATTTATTATCTTATAGATTATGATTTAAATCATTGTAGTTGTAAGGATATTACATAAACTAATGAATATGTAGGCCAAAGATTAAGAATTGTGAAAACAATATCAGAGATTATATTTTTGCATCCAAGTTTATTGTTTAATATAGTATTTTTTTATACTTCATAAAATTAAAGTAGAATTTAAATTAAAATTTTAACATATTTTATTTTTAGATATCAAACACCATCTCATTTTGATTATGAAGATTTAGAGAGAAAATATTGGAAAAATATTTCCTATAATTCTCCAATATATGGAGCAGATGTTTCAGGTTCTTTATATGATCCTGAAGTAGAGGTATGTAAGTGGATTAGCATTACATAGTGATGAAATTTAAAAATACATGAAAATTATCAACTATATTGAGCTTTTTTTTTATGACAACTTATTATTCATTTATTAATGTGCTGTGCATCATATGTGCCATGCTTCATATCTGCCATGCTTCATATTTGCCATCTTATCTTTCTACACTCTTTTTTATGTAAAAAAATAAAAAACAAAGTGAGAACTTCAATACGAATGAATGAATTTTTGCTTATTCATGAATTAATAATGGAATTTTAAAAAAATTCATTTAAATGCAAATTAAAACTAATTTGTCAAAATATTTATTTTGACAAATTAGTTTACAATTCACATTTTTACTTTAAATTACACCTCTTACATCATTTAGAATAATAAATTATAGTTAATATATGTACTTAATAATAAGTAAAACAAAAAATTTTTGAAGTTATGATTGTTATTGTTTTTTAAATGTATTATAAAATTGAAATTAATATTAATAAATGAATTAATATTTATTTTAAAATTTACTTAATTTCATGTCTAAAAAATGTGTTTATTTATACACTATTAGTTTAAATATTAAGTGGAAAGGCACAGATTGTCATGAAAGACTGCAGGAGATGAAGAACTTTTGCTGCCCAATGTGCCCAGGTGCACAGGTGGACCTAACTAACTAAATTTAAATATTGAAAAGTTTGAATGATTTGCTTTAATTTGTTACTTTAATAATTTGTAAATCTAAATTTGTTGCTAATGTTATTAGATGCTTCTATCATAAAGATTAATAAATTGATCCACTCTGCTACAATTTAAATAACCGTTAAACTATCATTAAAACATTTGTCATTTTTTCAGTTTTATGAAAAATGAATAGCTTGTGATATTGGAATATTTAAATGGAAATACAGTAGAGCGTTGATTATCCGAATCAATTGGGAACTGGGGTTGTTCGGAAAATCAATGTTTCGGATAACCGATTATGTACGAAAAAATATATTAATTTATCCCATCTTGGCATTTTTCTCCATTGCGTGTCGCTTCGTGTTGAATTTTTGTTGATGTTAAGCCTAACGAAGACTATTGTATCGTAAAAAATTATTTTTTTATTTTGTACGAACAAAATAAATACTGTATATTGAAAAATATAAAAACAATAAAAAATTATACTTTAGAAGTTAATTTAGTATCAAAAACGTAAAATATTTTAGTAGCCCAAGACATAGCCAAAGATTGCAGCGCCACAGCCCTAGCGAAAATTTAAATTTTACCGACTGGAATTCTTTCGGATGATTGACTTTCAGATAATCGACGCTCTACTGTATATGAAAAAAGAAATTTAGTAAATATTCTTCTAAAAGTTTTGAGTATTTGCAAATACATTATGATTAGTTTGTTTTGTGAATAATTATTGCTTTATTTTTCACAGATATGCTATTATATTTAGCAGATCTAATGAAAAGTAAAAAAATAATTTATAAAATTTCTTTTAATTGAATGTGTATGAAGATTTTGTAAATTATTCTGTTAGCATTTGATTACATGATTTAAATTTCATATTTTAATACTAAATTATATTTATTTGAATTTCACTTTTTTATATTTTTATTAAAATATTTATATTATTGATTATTTTTAAAATTTTTACTCTTGCAATAATAAAATATTGAGTATTTGAACAAGGTAAAAAATATTTAACATGTGAAATGAAATATTAAAAGTAGTATAATTAATTTGCATAAATCTATATAAATTTTGTGAAGTAGAAATTATATCAGAGTGAGAATATTTATTATGAATTAAATGTATTGTGGAAATTGATTTATTTAGATAAAATAATACAGAAAATGCAATGTTAGTATAATAGATGTTCTAATCTGAATTTCTGATGTTACAAAAATATTATCTAAGAAATATATAAAAATTCTGTATATATTTTATTTTAAATTTTGATAAAACTATACTTTTGTGTGACGGTTAGAAAGGCAGTATTTATACAAAATAAGCAACTAATAACAACAAGAATTTTTATTCTTAGAAAAATATATTGACAGATTTATGAATTATTGTAATTTGCTTTATTTGATTTGATCATTAGTATCTGAACTGAAAAAATTTAATTTCAAATTATTCTTTCTTGTTCCTTTCAATTAATTACAATAAATCTGTGGGTAACATAAGGTTTAATCCTAGATATTTATGAATGAGAAATTAAATGTAAGAACCAAATGACTTCTGGATCAACATGTACCTGAATCAGTTACTGGTGTTGGAGAAAAGACGAATAAAAATTGTAGACGTTTTTGAACCTTACTAGTTCTTCTTCAGACAGTAAGGTTCGAAAACGTTCATGATTTTTTTTTCTTTTCTCAAACACCAGTAACTGTTTCAGGTACGTGTTGATTTCATCCTGGTGTTTTGTGAATGTAGAAGTTTATCAAGTAGACATTGCTGGATTATATCAGGCTATATTAATGCTACTATTAATAATTAAATGTTAAGTTTTTTGGCTTAAAAGTAGGTGTTAGGCACTATCTCTTGATAAATTTAATAATTATAATTAAATTAATATTTTAATAATTAATTTAGAATCTTCTGAAAAAAAAAAGAATTGGCCCAAAATAGGCCTTGAACCTAGAACTCCCACTTACTGTTCAGTTGTGTTGCCAGTTATGCTATCCAGACCTCCATCCACTACTACTAGGCCAAATTACTTACTTTTTAATTAATAATAGTATTAATTTATTTTGATATAATTCTGCAATCATTTGGCTTTAATCTAAAAATTGGGTTTTAGATGTTTATATCTGTAAATATAAGAATATTTTAAATTTATTATAGTATTGTGAAAATTAGTTAATATAGAATATGATTACCTCTTACATTATTTTTTAAGAAGAATATTTCTTGTTTTGTGAGACTGTCTAGAAGTTATCTTAGTGAAAATATTAAATATTTTTTTCAAAGCACTTTAAATTCTATAGATTATGTAGGAGAGATAAGAAATTAGCAGTCTCTTTCTCTTTCTAAATCATCTCATTGCACATAATCATATTGAACTTCTTTAAGACTAAAATTGCAAATGAATTGGTCATTCTATTCAGTTAGTGTTGTTTGAAGGTGATGAGTGTTATTGTCTGATTATAGAAAATTCTGTTATATATATATTTGCTATACATGTAAGCATAAAATCAAATAAGTTATTACTGATTCACATTCATTTCATTATCTCTCTATATTCACAAAGTCCTCTATCAAAGAGAAATTTGTAATCAAACTTTAATAATGCTACCAAAAGCATCCTTTTAAACAATTTAATCTAGATTAATATATTCCTGATTTTCTTCAGATAAGATACATTTTTAAATTATTTTGAAAACCAAATCTGATTTATATGTAAAAAGTATTATGTTTTGATTATCTTGGCATGAGGTACATCAAGACATTCATTGTAATATTGAAAGGGAAGGGGAAATATAACATTTGCTCCTCTGAAATAAAAATTAAATTTATGAAGTATTCTGTATAAATGATTTCAACATTCTTTTTGTTAAGAGATCAAGAAGTTACTGATATATAATTAATAGTTGTTTTTAAAAACTTAATTGAAGTAGCTGTTTGATGCTGAAGATAAATATTTATCTTTCTTTACTGAAATGTGAAATATTCAATCCATTAAATTTTCAATACCTTATTTGTTTTGTTAAAATCTTTTGTGAAGTCTTTAGATTCAAAATAGTTTACTAGACAATCAACAATTTCAGATTAAGTATAGTCAAATTCAAGCTTTCTGATGACTTCTAATTTATAATTTTAAGTGTGTCTTTAAAGGTATATTCATGAGTTGATCTTGATTTTGTATGGATTTAAGTAGCAATTTTATGTCTTTACTATCAGATGATATAAAACTATTTTCAAGAATAAACTTTTTTATTGTGTTAAAATTTATTAATATTTTGTTTTTATAAATTTGAAGTTTAAACTTCACACTTAAAAAAGAAAAAAAATGCAAGAAAATTTAAATTTCAAACTAAAGTTTTTTTTAAACAAAAATTTACTTCAAAAGAAGTTCATTATGATAGACTGATCCTTAAATTCAAAAACAAGCCAATTTTGTTCTAAATTACCTCTGAAATTGAGTGAGCAAAGACTCTAAATGTATAAACTATTTTCAATTTTATATTTGATTTAATTATTTTGATTATTTTTATATTTTTACACATTTATAATGTTACATTGCAACATTGTATCAGTATACCTAGGAAAGGATTATGTTCTTTATCTTAATTAAATTGGAAGTTTTTGTCAAAAAGAAAGATTTTTGTTGATTTATTAATATTAAAGATAAGATATATATAGTGTTGAATCTCTATTTAGGGAAATCATGTTGAAGAAAATTTAATATAAGAGAAACTGTACAACTGTATATCAAAAAATGTTTATATAATGAAGTTTAGAATGGAAAATATTAATTATAATCTGTTGATGCCTATAGATGACACTTATCATTTGTGTTTTTACATTTGCAATGCAAATCTGTCTTCATGAAGAAAAAGAATTCAAGGTTATGAATCAGATGATGATGAAGAAAAAGAATTTATCTACAGAAAAGTTTTACTCTTTCTGTAAATAAATTTTTACAGAAAAAAAGTAAAAATTTTTCAATAAAATTTTTTAGAATTATGAATAAATTTTATAATTTAAATACATGTTGTGATTATGTTTTTCAATATATATCTGAAAAATTATTATAGAAAATTGCCTTATAAATATTGTAGGAAGACAGTTCTTTTGTTTTTATTATGTACAGTAAATGTTTTATTGTTTAATTTATGAAGTAAAAATTTTTTATTTATATAGCATTTGTATTACTTACTTAATATGTTAAATAAAGGAAGTTTTGAAATAGAAATGAATTTATTGCAGGAATTTAATATCAATCGTTTAAATACTATATTGGATCTTGTAAATGAAGATTATGGTATTCGCATTGAAGGAGTAAACACTGCATACTTATATTTTGGAATGTGGAAAACCACATTTGCATGGCATACAGAAGATATGGACTTATATAGTATAAATTATCTTCATTTTGGTGCACCCAAGTCATGGTATGCTGTTCCACCTGAGCATGGTAGACGTTTGGAGAGACTTGCAGCAGGTAAGAGTTTTTTTNATATGATTACCTCTTACATTATTTTTTAAGAAGAATATTTCTTGTTTTGTGAGACTGTCTAGAAGTTATCTTAGTGAAAATATTAAATATTTTTTTCAAAGCACTTTAAATTCTATAGATTATGTAGGAGAGATAAGAAATTAGCAGTCTCTTTCTCTTTCTAAATCATCTCATTGCACATAATCATATTGAACTTCTTTAAGACTAAAATTGCAAATGAATTGGTCATTCTATTCAGTTAGTGTTGTTTGAAGGTGATGAGTGTTATTGTCTGATTATAGAAAATTCTGTTATATATATATTTGCTATACATGTAAGCATAAAATCAAATAAGTTATTACTGATTCACATTCATTTCATTATCTCTCTATATTCACAAAGTCCTCTATCAAAGAGAAATTTGTAATCAAACTTTAATAATGCTACCAAAAGCATCCTTTTAAACAATTTAATCTAGATTAATATATTCCTGATTTTCTTCAGATAAGATACATTTTTAAATTATTTTGAAAACCAAATCTGATTTATATGTAAAAAGTATTATGTTTTGATTATCTTGGCATGAGGTACATCAAGACATTCATTGTAATATTGAAAGGGAAGGGGAAATATAACATTTGCTCCTCTGAAATAAAAATTAAATTTATGAAGTATTCTGTATAAATGATTTCAACATTCTTTTTGTTAAGAGATCAAGAAGTTACTGATATATAATTAATAGTTGTTTTTAAAAACTTAATTGAAGTAGCTGTTTGATGCTGAAGATAAATATTTATCTTTCTTTACTGAAATGTGAAATATTCAATCCATTAAATTTTCAATACCTTATTTGTTTTGTTAAAATCTTTTGTGAAGTCTTTAGATTCAAAATAGTTTACTAGACAATCAACAATTTCAGATTAAGTATAGTCAAATTCAAGCTTTCTGATGACTTCTAATTTATAATTTTAAGTGTGTCTTTAAAGGTATATTCATGAGTTGATCTTGATTTTGTATGGATTTAAGTAGCAATTTTATGTCTTTACTATCAGATGATATAAAACTATTTTCAAGAATAAACTTTTTTATTGTGTTAAAATTTATTAATATTTTGTTTTTATAAATTTGAAGTTTAAACTTCACACTTAAAAAAGAAAAAAAATGCAAGAAAATTTAAATTTCAAACTAAAGTTTTTTTTAAACAAAAATTTACTTCAAAAGAAGTTCATTATGATAGACTGATCCTTAAATTCAAAAACAAGCCAATTTTGTTCTAAATTACCTCTGAAATTGAGTGAGCAAAGACTCTAAATGTATAAACTATTTTCAATTTTATATTTGATTTAATTATTTTGATTATTTTTATATTTTTACACATTTATAATGTTACATTGCAACATTGTATCAGTATACCTAGGAAAGGATTATGTTCTTTATCTTAATTAAATTGGAAGTTTTTGTCAAAAAGAAAGATTTTTGTTGATTTATTAATATTAAAGATAAGATATATATAGTGTTGAATCTCTATTTAGGGAAATCATGTTGAAGAAAATTTAATATAAGAGAAACTGTACAACTGTATATCAAAAAATGTTTATATAATGAAGTTTAGAATGGAAAATATTAATTATAATCTGTTGATGCCTATAGATGACACTTATCATTTGTGTTTTTACATTTGCAATGCAAATCTGTCTTCATGAAGAAAAAGAATTCAAGGTTATGAATCAGATGATGATGAAGAAAAAGAATTTATCTACAGAAAAGTTTTACTCTTTCTGTAAATAAATTTTTACAGAAAAAAAGTAAAAATTTTTCAATAAAATTTTTTAGAATTATGAATAAATTTTATAATTTAAATACATGTTGTGATTATGTTTTTCAATATATATCTGAAAAATTATTATAGAAAATTGCCTTATAAATATTGTAGGAAGACAGTTCTTTTGTTTTTATTATGTACAGTAAATGTTTTATTGTTTAATTTATGAAGTAAAAATTTTTTATTTATATAGCGTTTGTATTACTTACTTAATATGTTAAATAAAGGAAGTTTTGAAATAGAAATGAATTTATTGCAGGAATTTAATATCAATCGTTTAAATACTATATTGGATCTTGTAAATGAAGATTATGGTATTCGCATTGAAGGAGTAAACACTGCATACTTATATTTTGGAATGTGGAAAACCACATTTGCATGGCATACAGAAGATATGGACTTATATAGTATAAATTATCTTCATTTTGGTGCACCCAAGTCATGGTATGCTGTTCCACCTGAGCATGGTAGACGTTTGGAGAGACTTGCAGCAGGTAAGAGTTTTTTTTTATAATAAATAGTTTCTTAATGTATGAAATAACATAACATAGTTCTTGTTGTATTATATTGATTTGTAAATAATATATATTTACAAATCACATTTTTCTGTGGATCTGTGAGATAGCTATCACAATTTAAATTATTTTTCTTTTCCTGTAACATTGAAGAAATAAGAGTGCTGCACATCCAAGCAATAAAAACACATATTTATAGACAGATAATGGAACAATAATTAAGAGTATTATTTAATCTGTGTTCTGTGTGAGTAATCTGATCAGTGACCATTGATTTTACTTAATGGACCTTCACTAGTTGTCTTATATAGTAAGAGGTTGGTATTCCTTTTGATGGATTTCTATTGCTTAATGAACTTACATGATACATAAATGCTATATTTTGTTGCCAGTTCTTCTACTTCTGTTATAGTTGGATACATTGTAGATGTTATTAGCTGGTGATCATGATTATCTTTGAAGAAAATAATTATAATGTACTTCTGATGCATTAATAACACAATAAATAGCAATAAGCTTATCTGAACTGTTAATTTTTTCAACAATTTTAGACACAGTTGGAAAAAGGAAATGAAAATTTATTTTTTCTGTGTTATTAGTGGACTTAATTCAGTCAAACATTACAACAGGCTCTTAAATTAAACACTTATTGGAACAATTTTGTACTGTTTCTAAATGCAGCATTAGATGTACCATATAGGAGGGTTACTTTGTGTGGATTTTAGTTGAAAGCTTAATCTCTTCAAAACAAAAAGTTATGTTAACTTTTAAAACATAAAATTGCTAAGTGTGATCTGTTCTTCACATTCACATACAGGGAAAAATTCTTTCTTAAAATGAAAAGCTGTGTAAGAACAATTTATGATCAGTATTGGATATAGGACAAGAGGGTTGTTAATCATTTATCATTTTTTTTAAAATCTAAATTAATGTTACATTTAATATAAGAATATATTGATCAAGTTTTTTAAAAACTCTCAACTAATTTTTACTAACATTTGGAATGGCTAGTAAAAGGATAGTATCACAAATATCAGAAAAACAAAATAATTTTAAAGAAATAAGAGAAAAAAAATAGTTATTGTTGTGAGCTATATTGAAAAGAAGTAAAAACCCATCATAGAAACATCTTATAAACATTAAATATTACAAAAAGTTCTTTAAAAAATTCTCATATCTCTTACACTATGTATTAACAGCTTTAATATAAATGATGGCAATACAGTAATATGTATTACCTGACCTTCACTCTTAATTTTTACTACGTAGAATTCGATATAATATGTTAACTTTCAACATAGTACAAATGAACAAACCAACTTGTTGCCCACCAAAATTTAAGCGTAATCAATCTAGATGACATGGAGGTAACTTCACACAAACACAACTGCAAGTGTAACAAGGTCCATTCAGAAAAATTATAAAACTATGAATAAGTCAATTTATTTTCACAAAAATTAAGAAACCAAAAGTGACTATTTTTTTACTATGCTGAAAGTAGATCCTGGATTAACCATAATACCTTTTAGTTTGGTCTCTAGCCGTCCACATCCAGCACAGTAAATTTATCCTTTCTTGTAGTTTCTAGAACTAAACTTAAGCTCAAATTACTACATTATTTTTTAGGCTATATTGAAGTTAATTCCTAATTAAATATTTGAATTTGACTTAAAGAAACAGTTAAGCTGAATTCTTGCATAAAGATCAATAATTAGAAATTAATTTTGAATTTAATTAAATAATTAAGAAAATTCTAGAAATAAAGATTATTTAGAATGGGATTTGAATCCTTCTCCAATCAAGATTCTATATAATAGTCCAACATTGTCTAACAGTTTAGGGTTAAATTTGGCTGATGTTTTGGGTTTTAGTTATATTATACAGCAAGGGTTGGCAACACTTTTGTTGTTAAGGGCATAATAAAACTTTTAAAAACCATTGAGAGCACATTTTGAAAAACTGTCACAATGTTGTAATAAACAAAATAATTATTTTGAAATATGTACAGTAGACCCCCTATAATGCGGGTTCATATAATGCGGATTCGTATATCGAGGCGAAAAAATTGCAACTGTATAAAGACGCTAACAGAGACTCGTAAAATGAGGTAAAACATCATCGCCAACTCGTGTCATGACAGGATTGGTCGAATCTGGACCAATAGTGGATGAGCAGCTGAACTACTTACACGCTACAGAGAATTTAGGCGGGTAAGTTGAGTTTACTATCGTCTGTACAGTATATAGGCCTAAATTAGGTACTGTAAGTCTAATACAGTACTATAATTTTATACATTTCTTGTGAAAAAAACATTTCTTATTCAACGGCCATAAAAATTATTTCTATTAATGATGTCTCCAAAGTTCAACGAATTTTTCACAGAAAATAACTTATCAGAAAATGCACCCATCGTTTGGTGCACTGCTCCACGATGAAAACAAGCTTAAGCAATGGCTACCGCGTTATAGGGGGGTCGACTGTATACAGTCGATGCCCATATAACGCGATAGATACGTTTCGCTTTATAAGAATTTTGCATTGTAGGAATCCTTAAATACATGAGCCAATCACAGCCCAGCACGTGTGCAGTTTACGGATTATGGCTGTTTGAAAGGTTTTCTTCCATAAAATTAATTGATTCTAGACTAATTAGACTTAACATTTCTAAAACACACAATTTTTTGGGAATAATCCATATAAACTATGCTATAAACAAAAAATTGTAGGATTACTTACCGAGTGTTCATCGTTCAACGACGCCATTGCTTAACCTTGTTTTCGTCGTAGAGCGGCACATTGAATGGGAATGCGCATGTTTCCTGATAAATTATTTTTCTGTGAAAAATTTGCTGAACTTTGGAGACATCATTAATATAAATATAATTTTTATGGACATTAAATAATAAATTGTTTTTAGTAGGTCCGCTGCTTGCTTAAACTCAACGGTTTGTGCAATATCCACTATTGGTCTAGATTCAACCAATCCTGTTGCGACACGAGTCAGCGATGACATTTTACCATTATATAGGAGTTTCTTTTAGCGTGTTTATATGAATATGGTTGCAATTTTTTCGCTGTTATATACGAATCCGAATTATATAAACCCGTTTTATAGGTGGGTCTACTGTATTTATATAAAATAAAGATTATACATGCATTTAATAACTAAAAAATTAAAATTAAAAGTACATACATAACATAATTTGATTTTATATTATGTTAAGTAAAACTAAAAGTATATATATTTGCATTTGCATGACTATGGTTCTAGAGGATGTCACTGGTGCCACATTGCCACTGAAATGTACCACTGGCTCTGCATTGTTGACCCTGTTATACAGAACACAGACAACACATTACACCACACTATATTTTATGTTTGCTGCGTAATAACTAAATATAATTGCACTGGAGTGTAAATAATAAGTACTGGGCTATCATTACTTTGGTTGTTATGCATCCTAGTCTCTTTTGAACAAATCCTTTCTCAAATCCTATGAAAGATAATGGTATAGTTTGAATTACAATGCCATAGAGGATTTCAAGATCAGTACAAAATATTTTTGTCCAGTTAAAATACTCAGAAGAAGCAGACTTCAAAAATTAATAATGGTGAGCTGTATAAGGTTTTGCATGGTCCTGTATGATCAAAGCTATTTAGAGAAGCCTTACATGGTTTCATCACTCATTCTTTTGGTTACTATGAAGTGAGCCTACTACATTAACTTATAAATTATTAGAAACTAAAATGAATATTCTTTTTCATATGATTTTAGTCAATTAATTTATTATAATTTAACCTCTAATTATCTTTATTTGAATAAAATCTTTAAATTTTTAATAATTTCAGGCTTTTTTGCAAGCAATTTTGCTGCTTGTCCAGCTTTTCTTCGACATAAAATGACTCTTATTTCACCTCAGATACTTAAGAAGTACTCCATTCCTTTTAATAAGGTACTGTGTTTTTAGCAATAATTACTTTATTGTTGATAATTTAATTTTTAACTATGTGAAAAGAAATACACTTGGAAACTGTAAAAAGAAATTATTTTTTTTTCTGTACTTATATGTTTATAACAAGAATTGAATGTGACCAATATATGTATGTTCTAAAGGAGATATATAATCTACAAAGAATAGCTAACAATTTTTATTAAAATGTATGTATATTGGATATATATGCAAGTAATTTATGAATTAACTTCAGTTCATTTTAAGTTAAAAATAGCATTTTTAAAATTTAAAATTATAAAACAATCTCTTCTTACATAAAAAGAGTCTTCTTACATAATTCTTGTAACATAGTATTTCTACTAATAATAATTGTATAATTTTATAACCTTTTTTTGTAAACACACTACTTTTCTTGTTTAATATACTATTATAGTTAATTTGAACTTTGAGATAACAAAACTTTATTTTTTCATTTAGTAGATATAAAGTGAAGCAGTAAATTATATTGTTAATCAAAATTGTAAAAATTGAAAAACGCATTAAATAACTACAACACAAACTATAATTTTTTTTTAAAGTGCAAATCTATGTTTCATTTTGAAAGAATTGCAATCAAATGTTTTAATTTCCACTTGATGATTGAAAGCATGGAGAATAAATATTTGAAATTATTATTATTTTGTATTATTACAATAAAACAACTTTTCAGCTTTCTTTACAATGTAGAAAATATTTTGTCAGTTCATCTTATTTTGTAGAAAAGAGATGAAATAAATGTATGATAGATAAGTTATTTAGTATGAGGATCATAACAACACAGATCTATGAACTGAGACTTGATAAAGAGTTTGTTAATACAGTCAAACCTTGGGTTATGAATGTCCCTGTTTATGAATAAAATTTTGAATGCCACATTTACTCAAATTACTGCATGATAACTCAGTTTCTGAACAAGCTACTCAGCAAGAGCATCAATAGATGGTTCTTGCTGAGTAGCTTGTTATAAATTTCATATACTTTCTATGTTAAAGAAAGTTGACAGCTTGACCAATCAACAACAGGACTACTGATTCAGAAGTTAGTGGCACCGAGATTGATTAATGTTATGTAATGAATCATTGATGATGTTGCTGTTTAAATTACATTTCAATGTGCATGTGGGAAAAATACTATTTTTCAGTACACACCACAGTTGAATTTAAATCAAATTAATTAATAAAAACTGCATTAATTGACATTCACTTAATATAAATGGCATTTAAGAATTCGTGTTTAAATATGCTTAAGTTAAATTAGATGACAAAAATGTATTAATATAGTATGATATATATTATAATATTAATATTTATTAATACTAGGTACTTGCTATCATTAAATGTATTTACTAACTTAAAGTAGTTATTCTAATATAAATAACTACTTTAAGTTAGGAGATACATTTAACTAGGTAGTCAGTTAATTAAAATTAAAAAATAATTAAATTTAAAAATAATAATTAAAACTGGCCTTTACACCAAAACTTTAATTAATTAATTAAAATTGAAATCAAATCAATTGAAACACAATATTTTGGAAATTGTGAATAAAGTACTTGTCTGTCTTGATAGATTTGGTTATATTTCATTTTGGCAGTCAGAGTTGAGTCTCTATTTATAGTGCTTCTTTTAAAGTGTTGGTTTCAGTTGATGGTGACAGAATGTTTTGCTTTTAATATATATGTAGAATAAATATAGATATAGATAAAGTAATATTATATATAACATTATATTGCCTTTATAGGCATTTTATGCATGAAATACAGCTATAAAGGTAAAAAAAACAGAAAAAAGGTTTTGTTTTGGGGTCGTGGAATGGATTAATTCATTTTACATTGTTTCTTATGGGAAAATGTGTTTCACTTTGAGAACAAATCAGTTTCCAAACAACTTTTAGAAATGAATTAGGTTCATAAACTGAGGTTTGACTGTAATTGTGGTTTTATTTTTTTCCATAGCATGTTTCATATGTTATAGAAAAAAAAATCAGTAATAATAATTCAGAACAGAATGATTATACACAAGTTTGAATTGGATTATGATGGTTTACAGCAGGTAGATGCAAGGATGCCTAGGAGGAGGAGCAAAAGGATCAAATTGCCTTGGGCCCTTAGGAAGTACAGTCTCTGTACAATGTGTTTTTTGTTTACTTTCTTTACTTTCATATAATAATTTAATTTGCTCTAGGGCTCCAAAATGTATTTTGCCTCAGGATCCATTACCCTCTGGATGTTCTTGAGTGGATGAAACTATATGAGGAAAAGTTACATTGAACACAAAAGTTGTAAATTAGCAAAAAAAAAACTAACTAAATTTCAAACTATGTAGACCTGTGTATTAGAAGTTTTATTATAACTATAATTGTTTCTGTCATCAAAATAAGTTATAATAATTAGTTTATTAACTGTTTATATTTAAATTAAATTTTAATTTAAATTAAAATTAAACATAGAACTGATACTATACTGATGGAAATAGTTAATAAAGTCATCAATTTATAATGATAAACAGATATGATTTTTCTTTGAATGATGGCCAATTATCATTTAAATCTACACCATTTTAATAGTTATAACAAAAATCACATGGGAGAACAAAATATTTGAGATTTTAAAGCTTATTTTAATGAATAAATAGAAAAAGAAATTAACTCTAGGAAAAATTGTTTTTAATACAACATAAATAATTATTACAAATATAATGTTTTAAACTATTACATTTTATGTAATAGTTTAAACTGTATCTGTGAGATAGTTTTGAGCATTTTATGTTGTTAATTTTTATTTAAAAGTATGTGATATTGCTTATTATTGAAGGTGTTATATAGTTTAGGTATTTAACAAAACTATTGGAAAATTAAATTTAAGTGAAATTTTTATTGATTTCAAAGAAACATTTAGAAAATTATGTAATGTTTATATACTTAAATTTGATACCAAAATAGTATAAGAATTCTCTAGAATTGAAAGAATAGACATTATATAAAATATGCTAAAATAAATAAAAGAAATTAATCATTATAATAATTATGAGAAAATTGTATTGTTTATTTATTGGGACATTGTCACAATGCCAAGCTGCAATTTTTAATAATTTTTTTAATTTAAAATATATGCTCTCTACTTTAAATTAGTAGTTTCTTGCTCCTGTACTGTACATCATACTTTTTTGTTTGTAATAGAATGGTGCTGGTCATCTACCTAACTTCTTTCGGGAAAATTTTTGAATTGAAATAACATGACATTTGGTTTTCACTGGAAGTTTGTATATATTCAATTAGGACATCCTTCCTCTAAGCTTTCTGTACCTGGTCTCTGTTTATCCATCTAACTTTGTTCTCAAGATTAAAGAGTGTCAGGCAGACAATAGTGGGAATTTTTAGGTCTACAATATTTTCAAATTGCAGCCCAATAAGATATTAATTGAAATATTCAAATATTTTTTAAAAATAATTCTTTAAATTTTTATTAATACAAAATAATTATTTTGATTTTAATAGATTACACAAGAGCCTGGAGAATTTATGATAACCTTTCCTTATGGTTATCATGCAGGATTTAATCATGGTTTTAATTGTGCAGAATCAACTAATTTTGCAATGCCCAGATGGATCGAATATGGCAAGAGAGCTTTACAGGTAATTATAATTTTTATTATATTTATTTTTATTAAATATAGGTTAAATATCTTTAATAAAATAAACTACTTTAAAAGAATAAGTTCTTTAAAAACTAATTGTAAATTAGTTTGAAAATATTATCTTTGAGGCTTAATCACTGTACACAAAATAGAGTTGTGGAATGTTCTAAGTCAATAGAAAAATGTGACCAGAGGGTCAGCACCAGACCGGTGACGCCTATGTCAGGACTGACAACACTGTATCCTCTAAGACAGATACAAAAACCTTGTTGGCTACTGTTTCAATTTTTGTGTGAGCGGTCACGTATGTAGACACTAGGGGTCCAGGATGGAGACTGCCTGAGAGACAATGTGACCGAAAGACGTGCACATTACAACTTAATTATAAAGGAAAAAATACCTGTTTATTTTTGTGAATTATTTACATGTATACATAGGATAACAGAGTTCTGTTATATCTTTCAAATAGTGGCTTAAATTGGATAAAGCTATATAGCATAACATAATTGATTATTGAAGTTAATGGGTTCCTAGCTGAGAGAGAGAGAGAGCTTACATTATTATACGCAATGTGAAATACCTTGATTGGTAGGTTGATTGATGCTGCGGATTGCCATGACAAAGGGGTGAAGAGGTTTTGCTGGATTGAGTAATACTCCTGGATGGGGCAGTTTTTGGTTGGATGTCCAGTAGGTAAACACAGCTATGGTTCGGCGACGGCAGTGATTGAAGGGATTGTCAGTGGAGCATGGCTGGAATACACTTGCACAAGGATATGGATAGGCAAACTCGCTTTTCGATTTCGATGTTCATCTTTTTATTTTGGGGGGAACCTCTCCCTTCAAGCAAAGGTGGCAATGCTAAAGTTTTGACCAATAGATAAATTTCAGATGAAAGTTCCTGGTGACACATACATTCGGAAAGATGTGCCACCTTTGGAAAGGAAGTAAATCCAGGGAAAGATGCAATCACATCCTTCCATTTATTTTACTAAGTGTTGGAAAAATTTTTCTTTAATGCATAAATTTTACATATTCTATATTCTTGATTAATTTGATATATTTTGTTGTGGTTAATTAAAATTTCCATCTCATCTGGTCTCTCACAAAAAAATATTTAATAAATACATTTAAAATATTTTAAATTTCAAAATATAAATTGTGGAGCTAATTTTAATATAAATTTTTTTTTGTTGATTTTTTCGTCTGATGGTGAGATTATTATTAATCATCAAAGACAAGTCTGTCCAAAAGGGACCTTGGATGTGTATGTGTAAAGTCTGATAAATGGTGGTCAGCTTCAAAAAATACGTATTTCAGTGCTTGTTTTAGTAGATATAAAGCAGAACCACCCCATTGGTGAGATGGATGAAGAGTAAGACGTCTGTGTGTCACCGATTCCTTTTAATTGGATGTTTGTGTTTTTTTAAAGGGCTTTTTTTTTTTCTTTTTTACCTTTTACACAGCATGAAGCCTAAAAAGGAAGGCCTGTTGCCATGGATGTGTATGTGTAAAGTCTGGAATACAAAATAAATGGTGGTCCCTTTTGGACGGACTTGTCTTCGATGATTAATTTAATATAAATTTTATTATATAATTAAAAGTTGAATTTATTAACTGAATGAATTAGACATAAATATATAAGTACTAGAAAATACACTAGTTAAATATTCTGCTAATATTTTTGTACAGTTAGCGTTTTTAAAATTTTTTACTTTATTTTTAACAAGTTTTATTTAGTCTTGTAATTATAATTATCTGTAATTTTAATGCAATATATTGAATTTACATATTTTACAGTGTACTTGTCGAAAAGATTGTGTGAAGATAAGTATGGATGTATTTGTTAGAAAATTTCAGTCTGAAAAATATGAACTTTGGCGACAAGGAAAAGATTTAGGATGTCATCCTGAGGATCCTTCTAGAAATACTGTTGCACCACCACCTAGTAAATTTGAACTTATTATTGCTTCAAGAAGGTATTGATAATTATTGTTATATATACAAGATGGTAAAGATCAATTATAATAATAGGTCTTGGTCAAAAAATTTTTATATCATTAAAATAGAAATGTCATTATATGGTAAATTTAAAGTAATTAATACAAGATTTTTGATTCTAGCATATTCTAATTTTGTAAATTATTTGGTTATTAATTTAAATAGCACAAATGACNAAATTTAAAAATAATAATTAAAACTGGCCTTTACACCAAAACTTTAATTAATTAATTAAAATTGAAATCAAATCAATTGAAACACAATATTTTGGAAATTGTGAATAAAGTACTTGTCTGTCTTGATAGATTTGGTTATATTTCATTTTGGCAGTCAGAGTTGAGTCTCTATTTATAGTGCTTCTTTTAAAGTGTTGGTTTCAGTTGATGGTGACAGAATGTTTTGCTTTTAATATATATGTAGAATAAATATAGATATAGATAAAGTAATATTATATATAACATTATATTGCCTTTATAGGCATTTTATGCATGAAATACAGCTATAAAGGTAAAAAAAACAGAAAAAAGGTTTTGTTTTGGGGTCGTGGAATGGATTAATTCATTTTACATTGTTTCTTATGGGAAAATGTGTTTCACTTTGAGAACAAATCAGTTTCCAAACAACTTTTAGAAATGAATTAGGTTCATAAACTGAGGTTTGACTGTAATTGTGGTTTTATTTTTTTCCATAGCATGTTTCATATGTTATAGAAAAAAAAATCAGTAATAATAATTCAGAACAGAATGATTATACACAAGTTTGAATTGGATTATGATGGTTTACAGCAGGTAGATGCAAGGATGCCTAGGAGGAGGAGCAAAAGGATCAAATTGCCTTGGGCCCTTAGGAAGTACAGTCTCTGTACAATGTGTTTTTTGTTTACTTTCTTTACTTTCATATAATAATTTAATTTGCTCTAGGGCTCCAAAATGTATTTTGCCTCAGGATCCATTACCCTCTGGATGTTCTTGAGTGGATGAAACTATATGAGGAAAAGTTACATTGAACACAAAAGTTGTAAATTAGCAAAAAAAAAACTAACTAAATTTCAAACTATGTAGACCTGTGTATTAGAAGTTTTATTATAACTATAAACATTGAACACACAAGTTGTAAATTAGCAAAAAAAAACTAACTAAATTTCAAACTATGTAGACCTGTGTATTAGAAGTTTTATTATAACTATAATTGTTTCTGTCATCAAAATAAGTTATAATAATTAGTTTATTAACTGTTTATATTTAAATTAAATTTTAATTTAAATTAAAATTAAACATAGAACTGATACTATACTGATGGAAATAGTTAATAAAGTCATCAATTTATAATGATAAACAGATATGATTTTTCTTTGAATGATGGCCAATTATCATTTAAATCTACACCATTTTAATAGTTATAACAAAAATCACATGGGAGAACAAAATATTTGAGATTTTAAAGCTTATTTTAATGAATAAATAGAAAAAGAAATTAACTCTAGGAAAAATTGTTTTTAATACAACATAAATAATTATTACAAATATAATGTTTTAAACTATTACATTTTATGTAATAGTTTAAACTGTATCTGTGAGATAGTTTTGAGCATTTTATGTTGTTAATTTTTATTTAAAAGTATGTGATATTGCTTATTATTGAAGGTGTTATATAGTTTAGGTATTTAACAAAACTATTGGAAAATTAAATTTAAGTGAAATTTTTATTGATTTCAAAGAAACATTTAGAAAATTATGTAATGTTTATATACTTAAATTTGATACCAAAATAGTATAAGAATTCTCTAGAATTGAAAGAATAGACATTATATAAAATATGCTAAAATAAATAAAAGAAATTAATCATTATAATAATTATGAGAAAATTGTATTGTTTATTTATTGGGACATTGTCACAATGCCAAGCTGCAATTTTTAATAATTTTTTTAATTTAAAATATATGCTCTCTACTTTAAATTAGTAGTTTCTTGCTCCTGTACTGTACATCATACTTTTTTGTTTGTAATAGAATGGTGCTGGTCATCTACCTAACTTCTTTCGGGAAAATTTTTGAATTGAAATAACATGACATTTGGTTTTCACTGGAAGTTTGTATATATTCAATTAGGACATCCTTCCTCTAAGCTTTCTGTACCTGGTCTCTGTTTATCCATCTAACTTTGTTCTCAAGATTAAAGAGTGTCAGGCAGACAATAGTGGGAATTTTTAGGTCTACAATATTTTCAAATTGCAGCCCAATAAGATATTAATTGAAATATTCAAATATTTTTTAAAAATAATTCTTTAAATTTTTATTAATACAAAATAATTATTTTGATTTTAATAGATTACACAAGAGCCTGGAGAATTTATGATAACCTTTCCTTATGGTTATCATGCAGGATTTAATCATGGTTTTAATTGTGCAGAATCAACTAATTTTGCAATGCCCAGATGGATCGAATATGGCAAGAGAGCTTTACAGGTAATTATAATTTTTATTATATTTATTTTTATTAAATATAGGTTAAATATCTTTAATAAAATAAACTACTTTAAAAGAATAAGTTCTTTAAAAACTAATTGTAAATTAGTTTGAAAATATTATCTTTGAGGCTTAATCACTGTACACAAAATAGAGTTGTGGAATGTTCTAAGTCAATAGAAAAATGTGACCAGAGGGTCAGCACCAGACCGGTGACGCCTATGTCAGGACTGACAACACTGTATCCTCTAAGACAGATACAAAAACCTTGTTGGCTACTGTTTCAATTTTTGTGTGAGCGGTCACGTATGTAGACACTAGGGGTCCAGGATGGAGACTGCCTGAGAGACAATGTGACCGAAAGACGTGCACATTACAACTTAATTATAAAGGAAAAAATACCTGTTTATTTTTGTGAATTATTTACATGTATACATAGGATAACAGAGTTCTGTTATATCTTTCAAATAGTGGCTTAAATTGGATAAAGCTATATAGCATAACATAATTGATTATTGAAGTTAATGGGTTCCTAGCTGAGAGAGAGAGAGCTTACATTATTATACGCAATGTGAAATACCTTGATTGGTAGGTTGATTGATGCTGCGGATTGCCATGACAAAGGGGTGAAGAGGTTTTGCTGGATTGAGTAATACTCCTGGATGGGGCAGTTTTTGGTTGGATGTCCAGTAGGTAAACACAGCTATGGTTCGGCGACGGCAGTGATTGAAGGGATTGTCAGTGGAGCATGGCTGGAATACACTTGCACAAGGATATGGATAGGCAAACTCGCTTTTCGATTTCGATGTTCATCTTTTTATTTTGGGGGGGACCTCTCCCTTGATTTCAATGCTCTTTTTAGGCAATGCTAAAGTTCTGACCAATAGATAAATTTCAGATGAAAGTTCCTGGTGACACATACATTCGGAAAGATGTGCCACCTTTGGAAAGGAAGTAAATCCAGGGAAAGATGCAATCACATCCTTCCATTTATTTTACTAAGTGTTGGAAAAATTTTTCTTTAATGCATAAATTTTACATATTCTATATTCTTGATTAATTTGATATATTTTGTTGTGGTTAATTAAAATTTCCATCTCATCTGGTCTCTCACAAAAAAATATTTAATAAATACATTTAAAATATTTTAAATTTCAAAATATAAATTGTGGAGCTAATTTTAATATAAATTTTTTTTTGTTGATTTTTTCGTCTGATGGTGAGATTATTATTAATCATCAAAGACAAGTCTGTCCAAAAGGGACCTTGGATGTGTATGTGTAAAGTCTGATAAATGGTGGTCAGCTTCAAAAAATACGTATTTCAGTGCTTGTTTTAGTAGATATAAAGCAGAACCACCCCATTGGTGAGATGGATGAAGAGTAAGACGTCTGTGTGTCACCGATTCCTTTTAATTGGATGTTTGTGTTTTTTTAAAGGGCTTTTTTTTTTTCTTTTTTACCTTTTACACAGCATGAAGCCTAAAAAGGAAGGCCTGTTGCCATGGATGTGTATGTGTAAAGTCTGGAATACAAAATAAATGGTGGTCCCTTTTGGACGGACTTGTCTTCGATGATTAATTTAATATAAATTTTATTATATAATTAAAAGTTGAATTTATTAACTGAATGAATTAGACATAAATATATAAGTACTAGAAAATACACTAGTTAAATATTCTGCTAATATTTTTGTACAGTTAGCGTTTTTAAAATTTTTTACTTTATTTTTAACAAGTTTTATTTAGTCTTGTAATTATAATTATCTGTAATTTTAATGCAATATATTGAATTTACATATTTTACAGTGTACTTGTCGAAAAGATTGTGTGAAGATAAGTATGGATGTATTTGTTAGAAAATTTCAGTCTGAAAAATATGAACTTTGGCGACAAGGAAAAGATTTAGGATGTCATCCTGAGGATCCTTCTAGAAATACTGTTGCACCACCACCTAGTAAATTTGAACTTATTATTGCTTCAAGAAGGTATTGATAATTATTGTTATATATACAAGATGGTAAAGATCAATTATAATAATAGGTCTTGGTCAAAAAATTTTTATATCATTAAAATAGAAATGTCATTATATGGTAAATTTAAAGTAATTAATACAAGATTTTTGATTCTAGCATATTCTAATTTTGTAAATTATTTGGTTATTAATTTAAATAGCACAAATGACAAATTTATATATTTTTTTCAAACACATTAGTCTAGTCTATTGTAATACCTCTAAATAATTTAATTTTGTTTAATATTTAAAAAAAAGACATCATAATAAAAATAACAGTTTTAATAAATAATTTATCAATTTTTTCAATACACAAAAGACACAACTTTCCAGTGCATGAACAATATTTACTTATAAAATGAAGTTAATTTGTTGTAATAATTTAACAAAAATTTTGTGGTTTTAGCATTTTGTATATATTGTATTTATGGACTATATGAATATAATAATTTTATAATTTTTAACTTATTGTCATGTCAAATTTATAAAATTTATTAATATTAAAATAAATTTTGAAATATTAATTTTTATTTTTAATTTTTTTATGCTTCTCAATACATCTTTTATATTTTGTATAAAAATGTAACTGCTTTATAAAGTTTTATATTTGCTTTAGTATTTAATTGTATAATGTAGTAGTAGTAATCCAGATTTTTCTAGATATAGGCCTACTTCAAAGTTTATTTAATATATCAAAAATATTTGGGTTTCATTCATATTTAGGATTAATAACAACTTAAAGAATCAACTACAAGGATTATTTAATGCATCAATTAATTATGGACATACTGTATATATTTTATTTTCCAAATTTTATGAAATCATATACTTTGGCATAAAATTGTCATCAGAATATTAAATGAAGTTACTCTGTTATGGTTTCATAAGGTTTCAGAAATTCACAATAAATAAATAATTACTGTGGACTATCAGACTGTATCAATGTTTTTCAGATGAAGATCATATTTGGTTAATATTTTTGGTTGACTGCTTTTTATCTAGTCATTGACCAAATTTTCTAGAATAATCATACAATATCCATTTCTTGTTATAGGTAATAGTTCTTTTAGAGAAATGAATTAATTTTTATTTAAGTATTAAAATTAAACAAAGTATTCACTGGGATAAAGTGCATCAATATGCACTTTATCTTGTTGAATAAGTAAGGTCTATTTATCCTATTTTTGAACTATTATATTATTTCATAGATGTTTACAAACTGTTGTGTTATTTACTGGAGCATATCTGTCTTGGATTAGATTCAATTAGCTATTGCAAGACATTATCTATATTGAAAGCCCATATAAGAGCATGATTTATTTTTAGTATTTGCATCACTTAAATGAACATTTCAAAACTATGTACTGTACATCATTTTTTGCTAATTGCATTAGTTCTCATGGGCAAAATTTTTCTCTTAAGCTAATTTCAAATATCAACTTAGTAAATCAAGTGCAAATTTTTTCAAATTCTTCAATAATTCAATAAAATGCATTTAATATTGAAAATTTCTAAGATAGAGAAAAGAGAGAATTTACAAGAAATTCAAATTATCTTTTAAATGTAATTAGGTTTTATGTTCAAATATTGCAAATGTTAAATCAACAATATTTTTCTGAATCTGTTATTTTAACTCTGAATATTCATCTTAATTAATGTGAATACTGAAAGTAAAAACACACATTTCCAAAAATAGAAGACACTAATGATAAGTTTTTTAATATTTGTTTGCCATAATTGTGAAAATTTGTAACAAAATTCAAATAGATACAGTGGGTAATCGGTTAACGAACATAATCCATTCCAAGACTTTGTTCGCTATCCGAATTGTTCGTTAACCGATTATCGATTTACCATAGGTTTTAATGGGAATTTAATTAATTCGTTCTGGAGACCCCCCCCAAAATAAAAAATATATACTTTCTTTCTACGTTTATTTATATGTAATAATAAAAATACATGTGTACACAATCTTGCATTTTTATTAGTCATGTTTTTTCCGTTTGAAAGGGTTAAAGAATCTGTCTAATGTCGATTGCTTTTCTCTCATCTTCAGGATTTTTCCTAAGTAATTAATAGCATTGCAATTGTAGAAATCCCCAAGCCTCAACCTGGTTTGGATGCCATTCTAAGACCGTTGTTCTGACATCCTCACACTTCTTCAAAGGATCTTTAATAACAGATATCGGCATTAATCCTCTTTTTCAGAAGAAAACATATCTCGCCGAGTTTCTTGGTGTTCTTCATTCAAGAGTTCTTGGCGTTCTTCTGTCGTCAGATCCGTTTCAGGTTCCATTATGAACTCTTCGATGTTCTTTATTTCTCAGATGTGATTTTTGTTACTCCTTTAGCTGCTTGAGTCTTCTTGATTATACAGTATTTTTCTTAAATAAGATTGAACTGCGGCCTACTGTAGACCTGTTCACGCCATACTGCCCAGCAACATTAGGCATCTTCTGCCCACTCTCTACCTTTGCTATTATACTCTCACCTTTCGAAAAGAAAAACAGACGCAAAACTTAACGAGTGCCTACCCGACAGTCTCGCGAATACATAAAAGAATTGTTTTGTCAGAAAAATAAAAGGCTGGAATTACAAGGGAGAGTTTCAAAGTTCGGAGGAATACTATCCGATCGGTATATACCGGCTTGAGCGTCGATGTCGACGTCTCCCACACTCCGAAAAGTTTCGAATTGTTGCCCGAAGACAAGGAAAGTCCAATCGGTATTCGTTATTTTACGTCGCTTCTTCTTGTGTTTGTTATGTGGGATGTTCGTTATCCGATCATGTGTTCGTTGTCCGAACATAAAAATCTTTCGCGAAAGTGTTCGTTATCCTATTTGTTCGTTGTCCGATCTGTACGTTAACCGATCACCCACTGTATTTGAATTTTGTTACAACTTTTAATAGAATAAAAATGTAATATTTAATATGTAATAATACAGTGAAATTTTTATTTTATTTTCTCTGTTTTAAATAAGTATAAGTACAGTTTTCCTTTATACAACATTGCACTTCTACAACACTGTTTCATTCTAACATGGTTCAAAACTTAGGGAAATCCCCTGTACAACACTGTTCTTAGGTTTGCTCTAACATAGTTTGAGAATTTGGGAAAGCCTTCGGGTTGAAAATACAAAATTTCATAACTTTTAAGTGCAAACTCCTTTATTTGATATTTTGTTTTTTTCCTTCAAGTAAGTATGCATGTTATCTCAAATTTGCCCATGGATTTTAGAATGTGTAAATTTTCAATTTGTTTTGAACCTTTTGTCAGGGTTTAATGAAAATTGATAGTGCATTTTTTTTTTCCTTCCTTGTACTAGCTTTACTATCAACCATGTGTCGTTGTTGTTGCTTTTAGATTTTAGACATTAAGGCTGTTACTGTATTTTGTTTTTATATATTAATCTTTGTATTTAATAAAGTTTATTTAAGCAGGTTTAAGCAAATTTTTTAACTGTAGGTAAGTAATCATAAAAATTACAAATGAAGTACGGTGGTATTTTGATACTAGAACAGATTCTGGAAAAAATTGCTTGGTCCTCAATTGAACAAATTCAACCCACCAGAAGAAATTTTCAGTTAATAACCTATTTTTATTTTGTCATACATATTTATTTTATTTATTTATTTCATTACATTTAGAGAAACATTTGACAGACATTTGATTTCTGCCCCCTACAATAACATATCATAAAAACAAATAACACCCCTTAAAACAAAACAAGCAGAATAAATAAAAATAAAAACAGGTAACAAATCTTAAAAGATATATAGTGCTTTTTTACATTTAAATTTAAAAAAGTAAAATGGTAAAAATATAAAAAAGTGAACTTGATATTTCTAGTCAAGATCAACAAAAAAGTTCATATGACAATACTTTGTGAAAAGGAAACACCGTTGTCTGTCTAAAATGAATATTAATATGTAGTACAGTACTTTTAATTGTGATTGTTAGTTAATTATTAAATACAGGTATACCTCGCCTTACGTCGGTAATTGGTTCCAGGAAAACGACTTAAGTCGAAAAACGACGTAAGTCGAATTTACTTGTCTCCAAATCTACTTGTCACTAGGCTAAACCATAAATTGCCAATTCCGGTTCTGTATTTTATTTATTAATGTATTTTTAATAACGTATGGTTAATAAGGATCTATTTTAAGCTTTCAAACAAATAAATTTTAGTTTTTAATATAGTACAGAAAAAAGTAATCTAAATTTACGAATGCATGTACTGTAAATACAGTAGGGCCTACAAACTTGTAAATGTATATATTTTAATATGATTTTATGTGCTTTAAACATTTTTCTAGTGATATTACGACTTCAATATTTGTGGCGGACAGACGTAAAGTCGAATAAAATGACTTAAACTTGATTTTTATTTTTCCATATCCTTTTTTTACAAACGACGTATAATCGGGAACGACGTAAGTCGAGGTATACCTGTATATTCCTTTTTGTAACAAAAAGAAAAGTATACTTTTGTTAACTTCTGGAATGTAAGTCATGCTTTGTATTAGTCCTTTGTTTCATATAGCATAGATTTGCATAACACTCACTTTGTATAACACAATAGTTATACAAAGGGTACCTCTAAATAGTTTTTGCTTCTTACATGAATAATGATTTAATTCACAAGCTTGATTATTTTGTGATTTAGTGAATAATTTGATTTCTAATTTAATATTTCTTATTTCTTTAAATTAAGACTTTCCAAATAATATATTTTAATGCTTTTTTTATTTTCAGAGAGGAGAAAAGAAAATTAACAGTGTCAAAAAGACATCCTATATCTGCTATAGATGGGAAAAAACAAAAGGAAAAATTTAACTCTGATTATAAAGATCAAGAATGGGATTTGATGAAAGAAGAGAAAGATGATAGTGACGGCACTGAAATTTATGAATTGGATGAAGATTTGAATACAAAACCTAAAGAAAGAAAGAAAAGAAAGAAAAAAGAAAAATATAAAGATGATGATTTCCTTGATATTAACAGTGATGATAAAATAAAAAAAAGAAAATTTGCAAAAAAGAAAGATATAGATACTTTGGAAAAGTTTGAAATGTTAGATAATATGAATTGTATGGAAGATTCTTCAACATCATTGCAAACTGATCAAGATGAAAATCCTCCAATTCTGAAACCATTTTGGGATTTGGAAAATGATAATCAACTAGCATTTTCTCACAATATGAATGAGGCAGCTATAGATAATATAGAGACAAACAATGAAAATGAAATTTCTGACATTAAAAATGAAACAATGAACAATCATCCATTACCTGAAAATAATTCTGAACAAAATTCAATAGAAACAAAACCAGCTGAAAAATCTAATAGTCCTCCTGTTATTATTGAAAATGAAAAATTTATCACTTCAGTAGGAAATGAGTTTCAGGCTCCAGGATTTCAGACAAAGTTTCCATATCAACAACAACCACTTATTCAACATTCAACAAATAACAATCAACCAGTAGAAACAAAAACATTTCCCCGAGGAAGAATGATGTCATTAACTCAAACTGCTAAAAAGTTGGAAGAACTTTCTTCAAAGAATTTGTCATTTAAAGAGCAAGCAGTAACTGAATCTAATCAGACACATCAAGGAATTGGATCATCAAATCCATCTATTATTCAACAATTTTTGTTCAATAGTCAATTATCACCACCTCCTTCTAGTATGACTAATATTACTCCATTTCATTTGAGGCAGCAAAGGACAGCAAAATCTCCTATAAGTGTACAGCAACCTTTAATGCCAAATAGTTTAAATTTACCATTGCTATCTAATACATCTGAAATTTTTAAACAGAACATCCATCAATCTGAAATTATAAATTCATCTTTACATTCAAACAATTTGAAAATGTGTCCACTTAAACCAGATTCAGGAAATTCAATTTCACCAGAAGCATCTCATCCATTTAGTCATAGTTACATAAATAAAGAATCAAATAATTTGTTACCTCAACCATCTAAAGCAGATACCCAAACAGCATCATGGTTATTTGCTGGAGTACCTCACTATAACAATTCTGTTCAGCAGCAAAAATTATCTACTACTTTATTACCAAATTCAGCTTATTCTAATATTATACATCATGATATTCCAGACAAACCCACTTTATCATATTTGGGACAGGCATCTGATGAACCAAAAGATTTATCTTTAAAAGTGAATGACAAAACTTTGCCTGCAGCTAAACAATTTGTTGGGGGTATCTATCCTGATGTAGGTGAAACTAGTTCACCTTATCATTCGCATCTGTTGCCTCAAGTAAGTTAAATGTGCTATTTATAACTTTATTTGTAAAAATCAACATATTATTAGCAATTTAAATTTAAATATGATCTTAAAGCATTAAGTAAAATTTGAGAATAGTGTATAATAATAGAAATGTGCTTTTAAGAAAATCATTAACTGCTAGTAAAAATGATTGTATAATTATTATTGTAATGTGTCAACATAGTATTCATATATATCATAGTTGTTGTAATTGCAAGGACTTTTGTACATAACTTAGACTATTTATTTAGATTAGTTTTTTCTCATGTTTTAGTAAAATTTATTATTATTTCTTTTTAATAATTATTATATTTTTGTTTATTGTATTAATATCTTATAACAATAATTTATAAAAATTATTGTTATAAGATATTAATACAATAAACAAAAATATAATAATTATTAAAAAGAAATAATAATAAATTTTACTAAAACATGAGAAAAAACTAATCTAAATAAATAGTCTAAATTATGTACAAAAGTCCTTGCAATTACAACAACTATGATATATATGAATACTATGTTGACACATTACAATAATAATTATACAATCATTTTTACTAGCAGTTAATGATTTTCTTAAAAGCACATTTCTATTATTATACACTATTCTCAAATTTTACTTAATGCTTTAAGATCATATTTAAATTTAAATTGCTAATAATATGTTGATTTTTACAAATAAAGTTATAAATAGCACATTTAACTTACTTGAGGCAACAGATGCGAATGATAAGGTGAACTAGTTTCACCTACATCAGGATAGATACCCCCAACAAATTGTTTAGCTGCAGGCAAAGTTTTGTCATTCACTTTTAAAGATAAATCTTTTGGTTCATCAGATGCCTGTCCCAAATATGATAAAGTGGGTTTGTCTGGAATATCATGATGTATAATATTAGAATAAGCTGAATTTGGTAATAAAGTAGTAGATAATTTTTGCTGCTGAACAGAATTGTTATAGTGAGGTACTCCAGCAAATAACCATGATGCTGTTTGGGTATCTGCTTTAGATGGTTGAGGTAACAAATTATTTGATTCTTTATTTATGTAACTATGACTAAATGGATGAGATGCTTCTGGTGAAATTGAATTTCCTGAATCTGGTTTAAGTGGACACATTTTCAAATTGTTTGAATGTAAAGATGAATTTATAATTTCAGATTGATGGATGTTCTGTTTAAAAATTTCAGATGTATTAGATAGCAATGGTAAATTTAAACTATTTGGCATTAAANTAAAGTATTAGACAAGATCTAAATGCAGTAAGCGAATAATAATTTCTATAAATTTTAAAATTACTATTTTAAAAACATAATAATTATAATGTTAAGTAATCATAAATAAATTTTGTGTATGTGATCTTTTATGAAACAATAAGTTACTGTAGACAATATTTAATCAAAGATAAACAATTTATTTCATTTATTAATTGTATTTATTTCAGAGGTGTTGTATGTGTTCTCTTCGTGGTGGAGCTTTGAAACCAACAATAGATGAAAAATGGGCTCATATTGTTTGTGCAGCTTTGGGACCTCAAGTGTTGTTTGAAAATGCAATTTTAAGAGAACCAATTAATCTAACAAGAGTACCTAAAGCAAATCTTAAATTGGTAATTTATATTTCATATCTATAGTAATTACCTAGTGTTTAAAATATATTTATGATCATGCATATATAGAAATAATAATCTGGATTTTAAATTTCAGAAATGTTATTATTGTCATAAACTATCACCCAGTAATACTTGTCCACGAGGAATTTGTGTAAAATGTTCAGTGAAAAAATGCTCAACTGCTTTTCATATTACTTGTGCTCATGCAGCAGGAATTGTATTTGAACGATCTATGTTACCACCTGTTGTTGAAATTAAATGTAAATATCATATTGCTGTCAGTGAAAACTATAACTGAAGTTTATCCTTGTAATATTTTTAATATATTATTTAAAATAATTTTTTTATTTTTAGACAAGTCATCTGTACCTAATACAGTATCTAAAGAAGTTGTTGAAGATTGGACTCAACCATTATCTGAATTATGGCAATTTAGTCCAGCAAACTTTCATGCAGAACAACAATATAATATGCAGTGTTCAACAGTCGATCCTCATTGTTCTATATGTCTAATATTTAAACCATTGAGGGTAAAATTTAATTATTATTTTTTTTAATTTTTGCAATAAAGAATATCATCATTTTCTTTTGGGATCCAGTAATAAAAAATCTGTATACATTATAATTATTGAATTATGCTTAATATATATTTTTTAAATCTAAATGTTTTTATATGAAATGATATTCTCAAATTGCATTGTATTTTATTTTAATTCTCATTAATAAAATCTAATTTAAACATTTTTACACATTATTACAATAAAATTAGTTAATATTTTCATTCATTTATTAATTAAATTAATGTTCTGATATTCTTATATATATTCAGTTACATAATCTCAGTTGTGGAAAAGAAACTCATGTGCCTTCTAAAAGTCGGGTTTGGATGCCTGCAACATGTTTTGTATCAACATCACCATCAGATTTTGTCAATCCACTGTTGGATCAAAATGGTATTTCACCATTGTTAATATGCACAGATTGCAAAGTTTGTGTCCATGCAAGTAAGTATATTTGCTTTTCAATATATTATTTTATTCATATTTTATCTGTAATATATCCCATACAAAATTAGACTAGTAATACTAGAAATATATTTAAAGTAGAAGTAAAGTGATTAAATTGAACTGGAAATACTGTAATCAGTAACTATTTATATTTATTTGAATTGATTGATTGTCTATCTATTGGATTGAAGAGAGTTTGTTTTTCAATAACTGATGCTACAGAGATCAGAAATGTGATTTAATTAAAGATATGATATTTAACATATTGTTAATGTGTGATACCATAGTATCATTAAATGCTTATTTTGAGTTTATTTTTTAACAGTCTGTTTGGATAAAATTATGAACAAAAATCAATGGATGAGATGCATGTACTGTATATTATACTTTGAGTTTTGGAAAGATCATACTGCTATACAAACAGTAAAAACATTATTTTATGACAATGTTGTTAAAAGAAACAATAGTGCAAATGAGGATAGCATGTGCTTTCAACTCTAAAATGAATCCTGCTTTCCAAAAATTACTGTCTCATGTATGATTTTTTAATGTCCAATGAAGTTACTGTCAGTAAATAGATTGCGTAAACAAATGTGGGTTTTTTTTGTTTGAGACATCTGGTCAATTGGAAGTGAGGACATGTTCTGATCTTTCACCAGAACACTCATGAATTGTTTGTTGTGTAAACACAACAAACAAACAAAACAATTAAATTTTGAAAATTTAGATCATCCTATTCACTCAATTTAATTCCTTTCAGTTTTCATTTATATCATTACTAAAGCATTTTAAACAGTAAAATTTTAAAAGCTTTGAAAAAGTGAAATATGACAGTTTTTGTTTTGACCAGAATTTTTATGTTGATGATATCAGTAAACTTGTGGAGTATTTAGAGAAGGTAATTGAAAATTATGGAAATCACATTATTGACTGAATGAATATATTTTATTTAAAAAAAATTAAGACTTTTTCAAAATATGCAAAAACTTTTCATTGAAGCCAATATGTAAAACTATGTTCCAGAAATCATTAAATGTATAATTATCTAAAGTAACATAAGTTGCTTCAAAAACATTCATTACAATATAGTGATTCATTTTTTTACAAAGTTATAATATGTTTCTGAAGATTATTAAATGAATTTAAAATTACTATTAAAAAATCAATTGTTTCATTTTAGCTTGTTATGGTGTGACTGCAATGCCAATTGAAACAGCTTGGAAGTGCTCAAGATGTATTAGACAAGATCTAAATGCAGTAAGCTAATAATAATTTCTATAAATTTTAAAATTACTATTTTAAAAACATAATAATTATTATAATGTTAAGTAATCATAAATAAATTTTGTGTATGTGATCTTTTATGAAACAATAAGTTACTGTAGACAATATTTAATCAAAGATAAACAATTTATTTCATTTATTAATTGTATTTATTTCAGAGGTGTTGTATGTGTTCTCTTCGTGGTGGAGCTTTGAAACCAACAATAGATGAAAAATGGGCTCATATTGTTTGTGCAGCTTTGGGACCTCAAGTGTTGTTTGAAAATGCAATTTTAAGAGAACCAATTAATCTAACAAGAGTACCTAAAGCAAATCTTAAATTGGTAATTTATATTTCATATCTATAGTAATTACCTAGTGTTTAAAATATATTTATGATCATGCATATATAGAAATAATAATCTGGATTTTAAATTTCAGAAATGTTATTATTGTCATAAACTATCACCCAGTAATACTTGTCCACGAGGAATTTGTGTAAAATGTTCAGTGAAAAAATGCTCAACTGCTTTTCATATTACTTGTGCTCATGCAGCAGGAATTGTATTTGAACGATCTATGTTACCACCTGTTGTTGAAATTAAATGTAAATATCATATTGCTGTCAGTGAAAAGGTAATGATGTAATTTTTATTCTATCATTTCTTGAATATAATGGAGATATTTTTTATTTTATTTTTATAATTTTAAATAGATTTGTTTTCATTTCAAATATTTGTTTCTTAAAAGCAGTTCTTATTTGTGTTCATTTATAGAATTTTATCTTAGGCATTCAGTATGATTTGTTAACACAATACGATATTTATAATAATTGATGATTATTCTAAAAATTATATCACTTTTATAATGTCATATCTAGCAATTTTCCTTATTTAATGCTTTCTTCATGAACAAAATAATTTTATGTATCTTCTCATTAATAAATTGCTTAGAATTAGACATTGCTACTAAAAATTTATTTTAAACAACTTGAAATTACATTATATTCCAATAGAAACATCATAATTATTATAAAACTAGAAAGCCTACTAATAGTTGTATATAAATGAAATTAAGTAAATTTAATAAAAATAAAGGTATGGAGTTTTATTGTGATTGTATGTATCCTGATATATATATTATTTGAGATATTACAATCAAATCATCATTATTTTGAATGTTTATACTTTGAAATCAAAATAAATTTTATTTTCAAAGTATATAATGGCAAATAAAATAAATATTTAATAGCTTTATGGCACATGACAATACAATATTTATCTTTTAAGCACTTTCTCAAATTGAATTTTAGTATAATAATTTGAACTCTGAATGCTATTTATATTTTTAATGCTATTGATGATTTAATATTATAAAGTAAATTTACTTTAAGTTTAGAAATGATGCTATAGATTGGATATATTATTATCATTGAATAATATCTAATTAAACATTTTTTAAAGTATTTAAATATATGTTAGATCAAATTAATATTTATTGAGATATTTAATTTCTTTATTGGTTTGATAATTTGAATTAATAGCATGAAGATTAGAATTAGTAAAGCTTATTAAATTATTTTTGATAGATCATTAAGATATAATTAGAATTTAATTACATTGAATACAATATCTAAAGTAAATTTTATTTTATTAGACAATGCAGAATGCACCATGTGAGGTTCAAAAAGGTGTTCTGGTTGTTACAAAGAGAAGAAATGGCAGATATTGTACTTGCCAAATAATAGATATCCAACCTCAAGTATTATATTCTATTACTTTTGATGATGGCTCTGTCTGTGACAAATTACCACCAACAAACATTCTTGTAAGTCCTTAAAAACTTTTGTTTAAATTATTAAATATTTTAATATTTACTTAATTAAAATTCAACATCAAATTCTAGTCGAGAAACTGTCGTCAATTTGGTCCTCCACAGATAGGTGAACATCTAGATATAAATTTGGCTGGCAGACCATATGGTGGCACTTTTAGAGGAATTAATCATCATATGGCATATAAAGTAAGTTTATTTGAAAAAGTAAATTGTGATTTAAAAAAAAAAAAAATGCTTAATTTTTTATATGAAAAATAACTCTAAATATAATTCTACCCGTTTATATTTACAGTTTTTATTTTATTATATTTACTGTTAATTAAATGATTTTTTAAAAGTGATGTTAATATTAAATATCTTAAAAACTTAATTTTAAATATATTTATTTTATTATATTTGTGATTCTTTGTTTCTGTTGATATTATTTTATAACATTAGATTTATCCATAAATAGTTATTTCTGTAGCTAATAATATTTATAGATAAATTTCATGCAGTTTAAGTACTTCAAACCTATTTTTAAAAAATTCTAACTTTTCACATATTGTATAACAAATTAACAGCATTAATTAATATTTACAGATGTGTTCTAGCTATGAAGAGCTAGAATTATGGAATTTTAGGCAATTTATCAACTTCAGAGAAGTCAAAGATTCTGTTTAGACTTTGGGAATAAAGTTGTGGCTGAAACATAGTGTTATACTTTAACTGTGTCTGTATGACAGTTAAGTGACATCTCCAATAAAAGACAATTTGATAAAACTGTGTTCTGAATGTGAAATAGCTCTTGTATCTTGAGATAAATGCTTCTCCAGGATAAATGTTTTTCAATGTCAATTTAACACAATTTTTTTCTTTGGTTACTCCAAACTTGTATAGATTGTAAATAAACTTCTGTTTGTTTTTATACATAAATTGTATAAAGATGAAAGAACTTGGTTCTTCGAAACTGAAACAATTAAGAATGTATTAACTCAGTGGTATAAAAAAAAATATGAACTGTGTTTAAAGTAGTTAGATATACAAATTTGTGCATAAAATTTGAAGACTTAGAAAATAGGGATATTACAGTTTCAGAGATTTCTTTCTACATTGATATTTCCTAGCTACAAAATATATTCAGTTTTTACTAGTATACAAATTAAATTATTAATCTGTAAAGACTAGCTTACATTTATTTTCTGACTTTCAATAGTTTATTTCGTTCTTTTATAATCTGTAGTTATAATTATAAAAGTGCAATAATAGAATAATTATTTCTTATTTTTAGGTACAGTTTGATGATGGATGTATTATGATACTTAACAGGGAAGATTTTTATCTGCCAGATGAAGATATGCCAAAGAGTATTAGATCAAGAGTAGTAAGTAATTTTTATTAGTTTTTCACTGATGAAAAATTAATGATACATCAGCATTAAGATAAAAATGTGGTGTGACAATAAACAAACAATATTGTCCAGAAAAGCATAAATATTAAGATTTAATTAGTATTCCAATCAGTGAATAAGTGTTATAGATAATCATTAAAATACAATTCTTATATTAAATATTTTATAAAACTTTATAAAAGTTTTTGTACTGGTACTAATATTGCTTCATAAGGATCTTCTATAGTTAATTAATTTTCAGTAAGCATTTGATATAAATACAACACTTAAGGAATACTTGCATCTGAATCTAATTATTATTTTTGATATTATTGTAACTGAAGAACTCAAATTATGTGGTTAAAAAGAAATGTTGACTGAATTCATCTGTTTATTAACGACTGTAACAAATATGTTAGTTGTTAATAAACAGATGAATTTTTCATTACATAAACTTATTATTTGTCATTTCTTGTGAAATTCTTATGAGCTCCTCAATGAGTATCTTAGCTACATCATCCAATATCAAACAAATTAGATATTGACTATTATTAGTCATCTTCAATTGCTATATCAAAGTTAAATGTATTTTCTTAGTTTATGAGATTGGAAGTTACAAGCTGTTTCATTTGGAATTTTTTTCTAGGTAATTTTAAATTATAATTTTAAGAATTATATATATTAGTTTTAGTTATAAAAATAAATATTGAAATTTTAAAATGAGTAGAATAGATAGATTATCTATCTAACAAATTCTTCTGATTATTTATTTCTGCATAAGTGAAGCTTGATAAAAATTACACTGCTTAATTCAATTATTTGATTAAATGAATTGATTATTATTATTATATGTATAATTAACACACATTATTTGCAAGTAATTTTTTTTAAGTTCAAAACAACCACTTCATAAAGTTCAAAACAACCACTTCATAAAGTCTGCTTCTGTTTGAAGACATTCAATTGAAATTATTTGGTGGTATTTCTTTGAAAACCTTAAAATACAAGTAGTTTTTAACAAATATAATCATGAAATCAAAATGAAATCAATATAAAGAACATCGTAAAACTGATTGTTTTATACTTGGCTTAAAATAAATATTATATTAATGTGTTAAAATAAGTAATAATTTTTAAAATAAAACTTAATTTTCAGTGAATAATTTGTAAATTATTATTTTCAACATATTTATTGAATGCAGATATTTTACTTTTTAAATAATAGATTTCATATATTTAAGTATTTTAATATTTGATATAAATTGTTTTCTAAAAAATAATTTATCTTGCCTATATACCCATAAAAGAATATTTGAAACATAATTTTTAAGTTATTCTGCAAGAAATATTCTTTTTAAAATTGAAGTTTCTATTAATTTTGCACTTTATATTTAATTTATAAAGATATTCAGTGTTGCTTGAAGAAATTTGATATGGCACCCTTGGCATTGTAGAAAATTTTAGACAATTTATGTTAGAGTAGTTAACAATCTGCTTTATATACAATGTTTTTAGATATAATGCTGTATTTAGTTTCTGTATAAGGCAATGTAATTTCATTAAACACTGCCTATTGTTCCAAAATGAACAATAGCTGAACTTATGAAATTTTCAAGCAAGGTTTATCTCCTTTTCCAAGCAAGGACCTGAAAACTAGCATCTAAGTTCGTTTACAGAATAATTTATCTTCCAGCCATTTTGTTCAACTGTTTACTTTCAATGAGCAATTATTTATTGTGACATCGTCACAATGCCAGGCTGCAATTTTTAATCATATTTTTAATTTATTGAATTTAAAATACCTCAAATTAGTATTGGGTTGCCCCTGTACATCATACTTTTCCTTTAACAATAACATCATGTCATCATCTATTAACTACTTTCAGGGAAAAAGTTTTGAATTGAAATAACATGACTTCCAGTTTGAATTCATATATAGTTCATATATAGTTAATCGGGCCTCCTGCCCCTAAGGTTTCCATATCTGGTCTAATCTCAATCTAATTCCATTCTTAAGATTAAGGAAAGGAAAGACAGATGGACTGATGACAGTGGGAATTTATAGGTCTACAATTTTTCAAATTGCAGCCAATGACGAAAAAGTATCAGTCAATTTGAAAAGTGGATTCATTGTGTTACATAAGTTATCAATTTGGAAACTTGATCTAGGAGTTACAATTAAAATGTAGTAATAATTAAAATAACCTTCAAAAACATTTCCTAAACTTGCTCACAGTGAAATGTTTGATAGTAGTCTAATACTACAGAATGTCTCAATTCTATTGGCCAGATATATAAATTGATTTGTGTTCATAGCGAATCAGTTCTTATAAGAATATATTATATTGTCTTGATATAAGAATGATATCAGGAAAGTTTGGTTGAATTTGCTTATAAAGCTTCAAATGCATAAAGAACAAACAATGTTTCTTCTTTTATATAAAAGATAATTTATTAATTTCTTGAAGTATTATAAAATAATTTCTAAAAATAATGTAAAACTAGAGTATATAACGGGTCGGCAACCTTTCAGTGGTGTGTTAACATGATTCTACAAAGTTTTTTATATATGTTATCAAAATTAGTATGGTTATAATGGACTTCAAAATGTATAATTTTGAAGTTAAGTTGTTAATTGAATTATGTTCTTACATGTGAAGCACTTGTGTAACACACAGATGGTGACATGGAGTACTGTAATAAAATATATAAATAAAAGATTTGTTTTTAATGTGCCACAGCCTTTACTGAACTATGCCTTCTATTTAAATTTGTAATTAATAATTAAAATGTAGGTTTTACTATGTTTCTATTCAGAGTGCCACTGAAAATTGTTCCGTGTGCCACAGGTTGCTGAATGCTGGTATATAAGATTAAGTTTAAAAACTTGTCAATTTCTCCATGTAGTTTTACACTTTTTTAAGATCATTAGAATCTAAAAATACAAAAAGAAGTTCATTCACGTCAATTTAATTTTAAGTTTTTTAATTAAAATGATATTTAATTGAAATTTATTCACTCAAAAGAAATTAAAGTAAGAACACTAATAGGTTTAAAAAACTTCATTAATGTAAATACAGTGATTACTCAATAAATTTAAATATAAAAAGAAATCTGAGTTCAAAATTGATGAAATTTTAAATTCAAGTTTGAAACAAAATATTTCTTACACAGTTACCATTACTTTTACTTCAGTTTAATAAATTTTATCAATTTTTTTATTTAAAATTGAAATTACTGTTTACTTTGTTTTAACGGTTTTTAAGAAAAAAAATTACGTTATATATAGTTTACAAAATATTCATGGTCTTAAATTTTATTTGAGTTATTATCTGCCTGATAGACAGTTATATTTAATTTAATACATTAAAACTAAAAATATATTTTATGTAATTTTTTATTTGAATAATTTAATAAAAATTCTAAATTAATGTACTAAAGAAAATTTTAAAATTTACATTTAATGAAATTCTAAAATATAAAATAAATTTCAATAATGACAGTTCAGTTGATGATAAATCTTTAACAACTGTCGACTTCAGTTCAATTTTTTAATGTTAATATTTTGAATTTTTAGAATATTTTTTTGTAGGAAGTAAAGAGTATTTAAATATAAAGTTGGCATTTGATATATTTATACATCAGGACCATTTTTTAATTAAAAGTTTTCAAAAACTACTAGTGAAAAAACCTTACTTAATGTAATTGCAACAAAAACATTTTATCAAAATTATTTTAATTTATTAATTAGTACTCTTATTATTTTATTGTTTTAATTGGTTTTTATTTGTCATAATGTATTATAAAAACTAAATTTAATTTTGTTAATTTACTTTTAGATAGTCTGTAAAGTTAATTTAGTTTCAATCATATTTTGTAGCAATTAATTATTATATCTCATTCTAAATATAATTTTTTATTTTTAGTCGACCGCAATACAGAATTACCAAGAGACAGTTGGAAGAAATCCACAGGTGAATCCCGTCATGCCTAAAGATACATCGGAAAGCACAATTTCTTAAAACTGCCACATTTGAAATAAGTGCCATCATTTATAATGTTTGCAAAAATAAGTGTTTCATTTTGTAAGACAAACATCCCAAAATGTAAATTTATAGCACATCCCATAATTCATAAAATGGCTTTTTTTTTTACCAATCATAATTGTTCATATCATTATCAACTTAGGAAAATGGAAATAACTGCCAAGTAGCAGTTCATTTGTTGGATTGTGTTTTATTGATTGATAACATTTGATTATGCCTTTAATTGTATGTTGATTCCTCTTTTATGGATATTTCTTCAATGAAATTTTGTGCTTGTAAAGTGAAAAGTTACATGTTCGTTTATTACCAACTGTAGATAAATTGTCTAGTTAATCATTGTCCATCTTTTCATCTTCATCATTTTTGCATGGTCACTTTAAATCTAATAAATAGCATTTGTAGAATTACGACTGTTCAAATTGTTCTGTTACCCTCGCTCGGTAGACAAATCATGACAATACGAAGAAGAATTTACCATTTTTGCGTACACGACAACGACAAATAATAGAGGGCCATTCTTTTAATAAAAAAACGTCTAGATCATTCTGTCCTTAGATACATATCTAATGTTATCATGTATCATCTCAATCATTCTCATCTTTCCGCATAGCAGTAAGGACCACAGACATTGGAACATAAAAAAGATGTAAAATATACAACTTAATCATGCTACCCATAAGAAGCATAGCATTTAAAAGAAAAAAAAATACCACCCATTTTTCTGTAAGTATGCTCCTGCCATTCTTTGTAAACAAATTGTTATATTGTGTATGAAATTTGTTTTTTCATACATTTCAATTGTGTAATAACAGGAAATGTTTTTGTTCCTGATATTTAAATGCTCCATTTTTTTGTTTGTTTGTTTGTTTGTTGTTTTTTAAAATTGTGTTCTGAAATATTTCCAATAATAAATATGAAGATTATAACTTTGTTTTGTTTATGAGATTCATATTTGTTATATAAAAGAAAAAAAAACTATATTTTAATTTACTAAGTTATTGATTTAAGAAAAAAATATATATATATTAAGGAGTGATTTTTTTTTTATTTATTTAAATAAAATTATATTTGCGTTAATAAGTAGTATAAATTTATTTCACACAATAATTAAACTTAAAATTTTAAAAATTTTGTAAAAACTTTAGAAATCATGGCTGGATTGTCTTGTTTTGGCCCTAAGTTATAACATGTAATAGGCCCTTCCTGTCCATCAAATAATGGTATCCCTAAGATCCATAATGCAAAGTCCTAAGATGCAGCTTATTCAATGTGCAGATCCAGCCCTGTTAAAAATAATGTTATTAGTATATATAATTAATTTATTATTATTTAATTCCCAAATTTATTATTTAGATAAGTATTTATAGCATTGAGTACCAAGTTATCTTCAAATTTTTAAAATCAAGATAAGTACAGGGTGTCTCATAAGTCAGTCAACTATGTTTGGTGTGTTCAGATAAACCTGTGAATGAGTTTACATACATAGAAAATTGATGCAGTTTGTACAAAGGGAGGTTCCAGGAGCAAATCTTTTAGGGCTATATCGAATTCGAATTAAAAATAACTCCCAAAGTTTTATTGCTTAATTTAATTATTATTTTAAAGAAATAATGAATCTCTAATAGCATTATAGCTTCATGGAGTCAGGACAAATTTCAATTAGGAGGTCCCATGTACAGTACAGTACAGTGTTGACTTCATACATTTTTCTTGGGCGTAATTTTTTTAGGAAAATATTTTCTTATAAAAGATTGGTTTGGGGCCCCAGGCACTTGCCCTTTTTACTCACAGGATAATGCGGCACTGTGAATTTCCTTTCAGCAATAAAAACGTTAGGAGGAGCGATTGCGGCATCCCTCTATTCCTTTTCTAAGTTTTGCAACTAACGAGTTTGTATGTGATAAAGCATTTAAGACAAGTTTGATCCTTACAGTGGTTAACTGACTATTGGGCCACCCTTTAAACATAATGATGACATTTATTCAGATTAGAATTTCTAATTAGTTAAGAGTGAATATTTATTAATACTCTGCGTATTTCATTAGTCCAAAACCAAAAAATGGCGAAAAGGGCGTGTTCTACCTCCGATCCCCATACCAAGCTTACGAGGACCCTGCAGAAAGGTTACTGCAATTTGAGAGAACATCTAAATAAATGAACGTCTGAATAAATAAGTCTCAATATTCAGAATAATTCTGTAATTAAGTTTAGAAATCTCAAGACAAAAAAAAAGAAGTGGAACAGATCTTGATTATATTATAAACATTTCTGGATCAGTAAGACGTCCATCAAAGTAATAAATTGTCCATCGTCTTGTTCGGACGTGAAGGAATGCGAATTGCAATTCCTTTCCTGCAATGATTTAGACTCAACAAAAATCAATGAACTATCGACATTGGGAAAGAATGGAAACATCGAAACTTCTAATTGATTTCCATTTAGAAACAATTTCCGATTTTTCCAATCGAATTTATATTTTATTAAAGATTCTAACGTCATGTAGTACTGTAAATTAATTCTCAGATGAGGTAATAGAGTTTATCTTATCCTCCAATTTCTTATTTTATTCGGTTAATTAGCTAAATATAAATACGGAATTGTACTGTACACCTCCAAACTTTAATCTAACGCCATCATTTGTTTGCCTTTGAAATTGGCGCTAAATCGAAATATGGTCAGAGTTATGTAGTAATGAGGTACAGTATACACAAGTCATTTTGGTGATAATATTTACAATGGAAGACTGTTTTAATAATTCATGGATGCCGAAGGATTCTCCTAACATTTATGAGGAAGATTCATTTACAAATATTGTTTGGCGCTATATCGAAGGTATATATACCCAATGTTTATATAGAATTTATGAATTCATGCATTGTTACAGTGCAATAATTAATATTTACAAAGCACGTAAGCGCTACAGAGTTTTCGTTACGAAATAGTAAAATGGATTGACTGAATTTTGCTCTAGAATATTACAAAATACAATTCTATTCGTCTTCAAAATGAGAATGGAACCGCTTTACATACGAGAAGAAAAATAATTTCGTGTTCATTACGAAATAGAATGCAATATAAAGAATATAAAATATATATTAGAAAGTTGTAAGGTATGTTTAAACTGTTATAGTCTTAGAAATTTCCGACATTTTTGCAAGAAATTTGATATTAAAAAGTCACGTGACATGTTTGAATTTAATCTAAGGCGGCGGAGTGATACACATTTAAGATCCAGTACATCGGCTCTATTCTTTCTGGGAAATACTACTAGAAACATGGAAACACATGACAAAACAAAGTTTATTATAGATTTTTATGAGTGTAGGATGAACAACAGCTGTTAGAGTATACATATACACTGTAATGCTTCAGTTTGATAAGAAATGAATGAATACATAGCAAGTTTAATCTAAAAATCTTAATTAATAAATTACTATTTAAACTTTTATTAATCTTGTTTTAATTAATAGGTTTATTTATTTAATCTCGAGCATATTAAATAGAAAGTACGAGTGGTTATAAATAGCGATTCGTGTGAATAAACTCATTAAAAATATACGTAATTATCAGAAGATGCATTAATTTCTTCTTCAAAAGTATACAAAATTATGACGTAAGAGGTCATATTTAGCGATTAATACAGCGAAGTTTTACCTACGTGTTATTTAATATTAGCGTTATATTAAATTTAACACAAAAACGTTAATAGAGAAAGTCGAGCGAATTCGTTATATACGGGAATTAGCTGTTAGCTCAAAGTGTGATATTGTATTTACGTATTGTTAGCTGCTTCTTCGACAGATGGCAGCACGCAACGAAGGGATACTATAAACGTGACACGACCGACAATGCAAGTCAGTCGTGTCAGGTACATCGTCCCTTTCACTCTTGCGACCACAGACATGGACGAGCTTAGGTAACACTACCGGATGTTGTGTTTTTTTCCTCCAAAACACCCGCAACTGCGCAGTAAACACTACCAAACCGGCTCCAGAACCGCGAAATCGAATCGACGTCAGTTACCACTTCATGGATCTCCGTACCGAACTGGACCGAGTCTTCGCATATAGATAAAGGTAACGTAACCTCTTTTTTTGGGGGGGTTAAAAATAAAGTACAATAAAAATTACGTGTAGCATAATTTATAAATATATGTATATACTAAACAGGCGTCACAGGTTTGCAATAATAAACCATAGACACCATTAATTGCTAGTGTTTATAGCGGCGAGTACGGATTCGATTTCTTCATTTTCCTATGTGCTGTGTATTTATATACAAGAGTGGCCAAAGGGGTGGGTGTTATCCAGTCGAGTATACTCGATGGGGCATGCAGCAGACATATGATAATCCAGGTTGAAGTGGATCGACGGCGCTTGCGCCACCGAAGATGGATTCCTACTCCTCCCCATAACTCGCCATTGACAGTTCACTATCATTAAAAGGAAACACACACACTCCGAATAACAAAACCGTTTTGGCGGAAGTTCGCTGACGTAATTGCTACTTTTTCCGCTTTTATTTCCCCCCTTTATTTTGTTTTACGATTGTTGATTGGTCGTAATTAATTTAAAAATAATTCCGCGAGTAAATCATTTCCTCTTCTTGGTAGCGTATTAAATTAGACTGAACGATTTAATTAAAAGTTAAATTTCGGGACGGATGGTTTTAAAATCATTCTCCTATTTTTAATGACGTATTCCGGCAGACAATTCGGTGAAAATTTATGCAAATTTGTCAATCGGTCCTTCCATTATTTTCTTTAATTCGTCTCTCGTACGAGAATACATATATTAGAATCCCCCTTAGATTTTACCGTTAAACGAACCGTAATAAATTAAATTTTAATGTAAAAAATCGCCATTTTTATTAAAAAATATATTTTTTTAAAGATTNCCAATCAAAAATAATTAAACTTAAAATTTTAAAAATTTTGTAAAAACTTTAGAAATCATGGCTGGATTGTCTTGTTTTGGCCCTAAGTTATAACATGTAATAGGCCCTTCCTGTCCATCAAAT